CTTAAATTATAACTGTACTGGAATATTGTTATTCTAAATGAACGTTGTTATCTATTTCAGTATGTGGCAAGCCACCTGTTACTGGTTCAAAGGAATTAGATGACTACCCAGAAATTCATTCCTGTGTTGAAAAAATACGCAAATTACAATCAGGTCAGTATAGATGATTTGTATTTCAATACTTTAAACAATCTATGATTTGGATCTTATGTTGGTAAGGTGCCTGCTTATTAGCCCAGTCTTTCATTACACTTGGTGGTACTATTACTTGTCTTTAAACTTAAATTTGACTTCTTAATGTATTTAGGGTTATCAAGTGGTAAAAAAGATCGTAGTGACAGCTTTAAAGATTTTTTTACCTGGCTAACTGATAATAATGTAGATATATCAACTGTAGAAATAACGGCTACTGGTGAAAGTGGGTATGGTTTGAAAGCTAAAGAACACATCAAGGTCTCATAAATATTGTAATGTATATTTCTTAATGCTCAAGCCTTTCTTTTTGATCTGAGAATTATTTTAAGTCACTCTTAAGTTGGTAATCATTTGAATTTGTCACTAAAGAAATATATCAAATTACTTTCTAGTAGACCTGTAAAAAATGGATGATTTTATTATATCTTTTATCTATATTTTTAGTCATTGTGTCTCTTCAACATGTACAAAACAATCACATATTTCTATCCAGTTTTACGATGATGCTTTTAAGTATGCTTGCTGTGAATTGTGGTTACATTTAAATTTTCAAAAAATCTGATTATAAACTGAAGAAAGTTTCTGGTTTTTTAGTTTTTAGGTTTCTGTCAAATAAAACACCTTGTTTTTTTTCAGGAAGCCTCCTTATTTTTAACAATTCCTAGAAAATTAATGCTAACAGTGGATTCTGCTAAGAAATCAGTTTTAGGTTAGTCTAGATTTGTTTTTTGAAATTGTAAAAATGACTATGTAGTGTTTGTCTGTTTGATGTGAATATTTATCACCAAAACAAGATTTACCTGCTAAAGCAAAACACAGTTAAAGTATAAAAATTATGAAGTTTTAAAGGAAGTGTTTTGATTTTATTTCAGGAGAATTAGTAAAAGAAGATAAAATACTAAGTGCTATGCCAAATATTACCTTAGCTTTACATTTATTGTGTGAGAAATATACTCCTGACTCATTCTGGGCCCCTTATATCAGTATCCTTATGATAAAGATATACTTTAAGTTTATGTCAGTCATGTGTGATCGAAGGAATCATATCTGATATCACATATCAGAGTAGACTTCTTGCAACTTTAAATTCTACTTTGACCTTTTCATTCAAGAATTAGATTAGCACCCCTGGATCAAACCTTGTCCTGCAAAGCTGTTCCATAGTTTCAGCAGCTGTAAGCCAGATAATGTTGGTATACTTGTTTATACTAGCCAGTTTTTTTTTCTATTGTCATGCAGTAAACTATTGATATGACATGGCTCGTTCAGTAGAAAACATCAAAACTCTTCGAAACAATTTGCTTTAATTAACGGAAGGCTGGTGTCTTCACTAGACTAATACAACTGTTACCATGCCAACCTTAACTGTATATAGATATTTTACCTGAATCTTACAACACACCTTTATATTTCACCTCTGATGATTTACATCAATTAAAAGGTTCACCTGTTTTAGGTAGGTCTTTTGTAATTTGTTGTAAAACTTAAAGATTTATCCAAACTTCATGTTTTCAAGTGAGCGCCACTTCTAATTTTTAGTGTATCATTTTGTACGAATAATAGAATTGTTAGATATATTGTTGAAATGAAATGCACAGTTTGATACTCTTTGTAACAACCTGTTTCAGGTTCTGTTTTAGTATTTCTATATCACTCTGAAATTGGTGTATTGAGCACTTACATTTGAAATTTATTTTCAAGGTGAAGCTGTTAGTCAGTATAGAAATATAGCTCGTCAATATGCCTATTTTTACAGATTATTACAGGTAATTAAAATTGATAACATTGATTACTGCTAAACATATATTTGTTAAGCTCAAATGAATTGTTTTATATTCAATTCCCATCACATTCTATTTCAGAAACAAGAACCCTATATCAGTAAACTTCCAATTTGTAATAACTTTACCTTTGATGAATATAGATGGGCTGTATCTACGGTGATGACACGTCAGAATCAAATACCAACAGAGGAGGGGTCAAAGGTGACATTTGGGCTGATACCATTATGGGATATGTGCAATCATACCAATGGACATGTAAGTTGTATTATGTATATTTTTAATAATTGCTACTAGACATAGAAGGACTTTTATTATTACAACCAGTTGCTTATGATTAAGTGATTATATTTGTTAGTTGTTAAAAAAAAATTGAGAAATACAGAATCTTGGTCAGCATCTTTCCTCGTTATTCCTTAGACCCAGCTGAAAATGGGTACAGATAACCTTGGAAAGATTCCTTCCAAGAGGTTTGTCTATATCCTTGGAGAAAAACGATTGTTTAATTTTTCAATTCTTCCTATCTCCTTAAATGGAAAAGATTTTTGTTTTGCATATATTTCAAAAATATAAGATGAGGCTAATAAAAAAAATTATATTCATGTTTTCAGTATACGTCTGATTTTAATGTGGAGAAAAACGTTAGTGAGTGTTACGCTTTACGCGATTTTGAAGCAGGAGAACAAGTGTATATATTCTATGGAGCACGATCAAACGCTGAATTCATGATACATAATGGATTTGTTTATCCAGAAAACGAACATGATAGAGTTTGTATCAAACTGGGTAAGTATAACTTTTTTAATTGAAAGGTTGTTTTTGGCCATTGTGCATAGAATATTACTCAAAGTATTTTATCATGGTCGAAGTTGCATATAGAACAAATTTAGTGTTTCTTGTTTTTTTTTTTGGAAGATAAAGGGTTGTGGGGTATAAAGATGTTTGAAAGAAAATTTAATGTGTTATAGATATATTATATTGACTTTCCATTGTAGGAATCAGTAAAACAGACACATTATTTCAAACTAAGTCTGATATTCTAGGTCAGATTGGTATTTTACCGTAAGTATTGAGTAGCTTTAATCATTACATAAAAAAATAAACTTTTTGCAACAAGTACCCAGCAGACACCTTACCTTACTTTTTGGAAGTAGACAAAAAAATTGCGAAATCCATCATGTTAGAAAAGTGATTAACAGTGATTGAAGTGTTTCATAATCTTACTCTTTTGTTGATTTTAATTTTCAGGTCAAGATCATTTTTCCTCCACAAAGGACAATTTCCAGTAGATGGAGAGTTATTGGCCTTTCTTAGAATCTCCACAGCTGATGATGGTCAGAAATATTTTTTTTACTATAGTTTGTAGCTGTTGTCATGAATATTTAAGAGTTCATATGAATATGTGAAGGGGGTGCACACACAAATAATGTTATGCTTTTACGGGAGCCATGGTGGCTCAGTGAATCTGACATTTGCTAACTTACCTGGAGGTTCAGGAATGTAGGAAATAAAGCTCCATTTATTGATCTCATTTCAGCATTATTAAGAGAACAATTTGGAGGGAATGTTACCATGGAGATGTTAGAAAATTTAAAAGATGAAGAAAAACCTATATGTGCTGAGAATGAGAACAAAGTTTGGTCGTTTTTACAGACACGAGCTTCTTTGTTATTAAAAACATATCCCAATACTGTTCAGGTTTGTGGAAATTTAACTATTTTTAAATCTTAATACAACTCTTGCTTTTGTTTATTGATACATGTATCTTCATTATAAAGAAACATTGGCTATTTGTCAAAGAATATCCTTTAAGTGACTTTATATTAATGGATTGTAGTAAAATGTCCTGTAATTTCCATACTGATGGGGCTAATAAATACCAGTAATGTCATGAAGAGTAGCTTACTCTTTATTGATTTCCAAATGTTGAGGGGTCTAAACATAAACCAAGTACTAACGATCGAACCGCAGAACTAAACCCGAAATTCGTATTGACAAATCTTGGTAGCAGCTAATGAACTTTTCTCATGAGGAAGTATAGTGTCTAGGAGTAGGAGTAAGCATACCCTGCCTGGCACCATACCGTCAAAGCTGCTCAACATATTTATCTCCAATTTCAAAAGATCAAGGGAGGTAACTAATGATGATACCATAATATAATATGTACATCCTGTAATGTTCAGTGCTTGGCTAAATTGTCCAATCAGAATAACTAGACACTACTTCATGTCAAATCATATGACCTGCATCACTCAACAGGATAGCCAAGATGGATCTATGTTGAGACCTCAATATTAGCAAGCAAGCTGTTATCTTGCTGATAATTTCTGACACCCTAAAGCCATATTTCTAGATATTAGAATTAAATAAAGCAGAGATCAGAAGTCTGAATGTCCCTATCATTTATTGTTTTGTTTTATTATTCCAGGAGGATCAAGAAGAATTGAATTCTGGGAAAGATTTAACAGTGCCGCATCAAATGGCTTTACAATTACGTATTGGTGAAAAACAGATCTTAACTTCCACAATGGAATATTGTTCTCAGAAGTGTTCAGAAGGAGAAAAATGACAGAGCTGTGATTTCTAGGGATATATTAATTATTTATTTATAGATATTTTGATAAAATTCAGGAAAAGGAAAGATCAACATCTTTGACATTGGATTATCTTACTAAAACCATGTGTGAATTCTATACGTTTCTAAGCTGACCCTTCCTAGATTTTTCCTTTATTTGTCACAAAATAACTGCTTGCTTGCCCTCAACCAAAAGTGCCATAGGACTTTGCTTAATGAGAAGATGGTCTGCTTGACTTTTCCCTTAAAACCACAACGTTTAGCTGTCATGTATAATAATATTTGTGTGTGTTTTAAAGTCTTATGAACAAGTCATCATTCTTCATTATTCTATTCAACCCAGCTGTAATGAGTACAGATATTCTTGGAAAAAAATATTTCTTTGAGGTTTGTTTATGGACCAACTTGTAGATACTAATAGATTATCATGAACCAAAGTCATTGTTCTTTCATCAAAGCCCTAGTGCAGGTACTTGGTGCTTCTCAGTAACAGTGCTTCTCTAACTTAGAAATATTGTTAATCTTCATCCACGTCAGCCTTTATATACACAATCTAGAGCATAATACTGTAAAATATTCAGTACTTGATAATAATTATTACTGTCTGTGTATATTTGTATCAGGTTGCTTCAAGATATTTATCTATATTCATGTGTCTTCATGCTTTATGAGAACATGTCACATCAAAAAAGTTTTATTTATGTGGATAATATAAATCTTGGATGGAAATTACTTCCCTTCATGCTAACACTAAAGTTATATATATAGTATCCAGACACAATATTATCTTAATTATTGTTCTTAAGACCACTGTTTGCTTGTGCCATTTTCATGAAATGAATTGTTACTGGAGTGCTATATAAAGCAGCACATCTGTGACAGAGGCTGAGCCAGGTTTATGTCCGAGAGGGTGTGGGGGGAGAGGGGAGGGGGGGGGATATCTGAGAGTGCCCGAATCTTTAACTTAGTTATGAGATTTTTGCCCAAAAAACTTGCTTTCGGGGCTGCTAGGAAGGGCAGCTGCTCCCTCTGCCCCACCTTTGGCTCCGCCACTGATCTGTGAATGTATTCTATTGTTTTGTGGTAGAAAAACCTCTGACATGTTCAAGTTACAAATTTAACTACCTAAGAATATTTCATTTGCAGAATTATTTTGACTATTATATCTTTCTTATTGTGATATTGGACTGTTAAACATATCATAACACATGACACTTTCCCTAATAAATAAATATCCATAAATATCTATCAAGATTATCCATTTATTCTATCAGTTTTTAATAGATTAAAATACAGATTTAGTGGTCCATCTTTTGTGTTTTTTTTCTATTTGCTAGTCTAGATGGCATTATGCAACTGTAATAACCTAGTAAATCTAGATCTGTATATTAATCTAATGGTGTTCTTGTTATGTTTAGTTTTAAGGAATGAAAAATTTTGTATTTATTTACTTATGTTATGTTGATGTATGTTTTTTTTTTCTTTTTTTATATAACTTTATAGGGAGGGGAACTGAAAAGATTTCACTAGGTATTAGGAATTTCACAAGCACAATTAAAAACATAACAATATATCTGATTTTGTTCATAAGCTTGTCTATCAGCTTGGCCTTTAGGTTGTCTCAGCTGACAGTTTGTATTTGCCAGCATTGATCTAAAACTGCTGGTTAAACATAATTAGGGTGATTTGTCTGTAAGTTAAAATGTATATAAATTTTTAATACATAAATAAATTGCTAAATTAGTAAATGATTATGTATTTTTTTCTTCAAATGATTGTATTTTACAGACCAATAGTACCTTCTTGAAGTCATGTTTTGTGTAGCCTTTATTTTCTTGAGTATCTTTTTCTGTACATTATCTATGAATTCTTACTGATCTACAGTCTGTTGTAAGCTCTCAAGTTTCAGGGCCATTTGGCAGTGAGTAGGCTTAATTTGTTGTCCTGTTAAATTGGTGCTACCCGTCTACATTAGCACGTCATTTCATTCTAAGTGTATCTCATTACATTCCTTGATAACTATTGGCTTCAGATTCAATCGGTCTATATGACTGAGATATTACCTCTTCAGAAAAGCAGGACATAGAACTCTGTGTCACTTCATGACACACTTTCTTCCATTTCTGACCCATTAAGAGAGTTCTATAGCACAGTTTCTAAGAGTATTGAAAACTTTGTACGACTCAGACTCAGCTTGATTTACATAGAATAATAATTAATGGTCGTTGGTTCTTGACCCAGCTGTAAATGGGTAGGATAATCCGGGAAAAATCAATGCCAAGAGGTTTGACCAGGGACCAGCTGTTGGAAAGGATCCTGGTGAACATACATTGATAATATTTTCCAATGTTGAGAAAGCAAATAAAAAATGTTATTTTCATAGGCTTTCATATTCCATTTTATTTTGTTTTGCCTCGGGCACGATTATTTAATGCTTGCACTTTTGCTATTATTTTTTTAATTCACGCCATTCAAATGTTATTTAATGCCCTAATATATTTTTTATTATTTTTTGAATACGTCTGCATATCTTTAGTAATAACTGGAGAATGGATGAACTTAAAGATGGTTTTCCTTATTTTTTAATGTCAAATTAAGCAAACTATTTGATTAATTGGTGTTTCTAATGAATTACCATGTTTTCTTAATCATATCATTATATTCTTATTGCATATAATTAAGTGTTTTAACCTATCATAAATGTCCATGTATGTACAGTCTGGATAAACTAAAAAAGACTTTTTGACCTTTCTTGATCGGTCACTCATTAGAATTCTGCTGGTAATTCTCTTCTAATTTAGCCAATAGTGAATTAATTGCGGACAAACTGGTATCTTTCCAAGTCATTAGAACACCTCTATTTTCTATTCCTATAAGTATTAGCATTTTCATTTTCATAAATGAAAATAAGGGAACCCATCTTTGACAGTACTCTGATTTGAGATACTTGATAGTGTACAATGCAATCAAATCGTTGCACTTACAGACTTCTGTGATACACGAAATGAAGTCAAGGTATTAGACGTAGTTCTTAATAGCTTAATATTGAAGATGCCGTAAAGCTTGCGTTGTTTGGGCAATTTTAAAACTGAGTTTCCTTCTAGTTCAGCAAATAGTTCGAAGATATCACGTAACCCAAGAAAACATGTACTAATGGTTTTTGTTTGTACCAAAAAAAAGATAACAGATCGCTGTCACCTTATTATTTACAAAAATTGGTTTCACGCAAGAAACCTATCAATTTGGTCGAAACATTTTCAGTTGAATTGTTTTTTAAAGAGTTGTATAATGTCGTTTATTGGGGCATCTGACCATAGAACATGGTACAGACTTTTATAAAGTTTCAGACTTTTTCTCAGCCCCTACAAATGAACATGGAGAATTCTTAAAATAGAACATAGGTATAAATTATTACCGACTTGACCACTCGACACGTAATTTTCAAAAAATAATAATATTTACTAAATTGTAACATAACTTGATTTGATAATATTGTTTGTTTTAAGATAAAAGTTTATTTAAATAATTCAATATTTGGCCCCCTGTATATAAACAACCACATGTTTTTAATGATAACATATCACTTATGATCTCACTATAGTCATTTAACTCATTAAAGGGTACACTTATCAAAATAGTTCCGCCGTATAAGGCCTCATCGTCTTCAGAAATTTACAAGAAAATTACATGTTTCTACAAGTTTTTATCTCAGTTGGCGAACTGCTTATTAAAATTCTGAGGTATTGAATAAGTCATGTGATTTTCTAACCGGCTAATCGACACGCTTCTACATATCGTTCGTTTTTGTTAAAATGCACACGCACACACGAGACTCGCGAATTTATAACATACGAGTACGAGTAACCCCTCTAATCTGTGGAGTTGAATAAGGGTGCAGCCAATTCAGAGTCAGACCACATGCCAATCAATCATACCACAGTCTAGATAGGTCAAAAAAAACGGAAGGTCAATCTATCACGTTGATGTGGTTAAGCTATTATTTAGGCCTACGTTCCTTTAAAAAATTAATCATTGTTTGCGTCCATTTTTTTCTGATAAGATTTCATTGAGTTTCCTTAAACTATTTCTTTACATTCGAATATTTTTGCACACAACCTTGTATCATTTTCTGATAAAAATTTCTTATTTGCAGCAAGAAAATTAAGTTAATTTATTTCTTATCGATAACAAACACGGAGAAGGCTCGTGATAACCTAGACTTCATTTAATCATTTTAGACTTTATCACTCCAGCCTAAATGAAACTAAGAACCAAAAGACCAAAAAATGAATGAAACTAAGAAGCAAGGCCCAAAGCAAGGGGCAGCCTAAACTGGGAGTGGATTTACCACAGAAGACTGGCATTCAAGAACCTGCTGCTATAAAATAGATCCAATGTGGAAATTCCAACATGGTTCACCATGTAAAAAAATGGATATACTTCTTTATTTTGTGCCCAGTTAATTACCCACGAAGGCAAACGCTAATTCGAATTTACTGACAAAATTCCCCTCATCCTACCCTGTATGGAGTTATGCATGGGCCTACATATTTTGCTTGTCGACGTTAATATAAAGAAGTTAGAGAACTAATTTGGCCAATGTCTTCTTGAGTAAAATAAATGGCGTTGAAAACAATTTTGTTTCAATCTAAGGGCATATATTCATTTCAGGCCTGTAAACAATGGTTGGAAACGTTTTCAGGAGCGTGATTATATTTAAAATATACATGTATATTGCAACAAAACTTTTGTCAAAAGAATCTAGTATAATCGATGGTAGTCCTCTTTAATGAAACTTTTTAAAGATGGGTTTCCTTATTTTCTAGTGTCAAATTAAGCAAACTATTTGATTAATTGGTGTTTCCAATGAATTATGTATTCTTAAACATATCATCTGATTCTTATTGCATATAATTAAGAGTTTTAACCAATCATAAATTTCCGCATTTATGTACAGTCTGGATAAACAAAAAATACTTCTTGACCTTTCTGGATCGGTCACTGATTCCGCTGATAATTCTCTTCTTATTTAACTAATTATGTATTAATTATGGACATGTGAGACATCTGGTATATTTCCAAGTCATTGGAACATCTCTACTCTCTTCTAGTATAAGTATTAACATTTCCCTCTTGATAAATGAAAATAAGGGAACCCATCTTTAATAGTTTTTGACAGATCTAAACAGATCGATAACCACCATTTAATATATTCCTGAAGTTTGTCAATGTTTTTTTTTTGACTAATTTTAACAAATTTCTCCTTATATCTTAAAAATTCGCGCCACTCAGATTTCTTATAAAGGTTGTTGGAAGGACAACACAACATCTGGTAACAGACGGTATCCTGTAGACCAGACGTCGGCTATTTTTATCAGAAAATCTACTATAAATACGAGATAGTGCTTATATAACCATTTCAATATAACAAGGTATGGGTTAGTTACTTGGCAGGAGTGTATATATATATAGTCCGAAATATTCTCATATATATTCCTGCCATTGTTACCTATGTAATCAGGTTATCAGTATTCAGCGGCAGCGCCAGCGCCAGTCCACATCCTCACCCCCAGAAATATTGTATGAAATTGTATGAAATAAGTATGACTTTAATACGCGATTGCTATTAAATATGTGTCAGAACTCAAAATAATTGATATTATTTAAAAAAAAAAAAATTGGCAGAGGGATTGAAGAGAAAACAATCAATTATAGCCGTAAGAGGAAAGATTTTGAGTCAGCATGTTTCGGACTTGGGTATTTTATCCACAACAAGCTGGCTGGCGGATGTTGGTTTTGGCAGGAATCGCGTTTGATCTCTAATTTACTCAAGGCTAAGATTATGTAAGGTTTGTATTTTGTTAACAATGAATAAAACCAAAGATAAAATGGTAGTTACACATGATTAATATTTTTTTTGAATATGTCCTTCTCCTAGATGAGTTAAACCTCCAGAATAAATACCAGAAAAAGCGGAAAATCTTTGATAACCGAAGATGACGACAAGAAAGAAGAAAAGGGTAAATATCAGGGATATACACCAATACAAATACCAGACGTTTATACACAGATATCAGGTACATATGACTAACGTAATCTACCTGTATGACGTCACCAATTACAGGTAAGATATACAGGTGTAACTGATTAAGAAGTTGTTAAATTGCCAAGTTTGGGTGTAAAATAACTTTTAGAGGTGAACAGTGAGTGTGAGGTCGGTTAGACTTTTTAGGCAAAATATAAAAATAGGGGGCATTGAGTAGAAAGAGTGCGCTGAATACAGTTTTGTGGGTCTAAAGGATAGTGGGGCGACTTGGAAAAATAGTAGGGTTTAGAATCATATTACAAGGGATTTGACGCATAATTTGTAAAATCAGACAATTATCAAAATGATCTCTATGACAGAAGAATCAATTGATCTATTTTTTCTACCCGAGAGATAGTTATCATTTTTTGTTAACCTTAGTATTGGTATATCTCATTTTCCAATGTATGCATCAAATCTTCCCAAAAAATAATCCCCATGAAATAGGTCGAACACCTGAGTTCTTTGTCGACATTTGAATATTGAATATCACTTAAAGACATACAAAAGCCAAGAGTCTTGTCGATGTAATTAATGAGAAACCGCCACTTTTTTTTAAAGCAAAACCATAACAGGCCCTTTGTTACATTGAATCATAATACTTTGGGGTCACGACAGGTGAGAAATTGCATGGGAACTGAAAAGGGTTTGTTTGGAAGTCACACAAAGCATTGAACAACCAAAATGTGGTTGACTTCTTTGATCTTAACTGTTAATCCATAGACGTTTTGCTATTTCTGCTAATGAAATAAAAGGAATGGAGTTTTACGTCCTATTTTTCTGCACCTATTTGGGCTAATGAAGATGGGCAAATAAAATAAGTTAGATTGATCCGACAAATTTGACTCTACCCGTTTCTCAGGCGTGATATATACGTTTGGGATATCGGTACAAAACGATTTCCTATCAGCACATCACGTCTAGGGACGAGTATATTGCCAGATTTATCGGGCTAGATTTCGATATGCCCTGGGAACATAATCTGTACTTTCATGTCAGCTATGACTTAAAAATATGAATTTTTTTGTACTTATATTTTTGTTTTGTTTATGATTGCCATTTCCTTGATAAGCCTACCACTTCTCATTTATAATTTGTTGTTATATAAATGAAAAATGATTAAATGATTAAAAAACTTTCATGTCACTGTTGATAGACCCAAATTTCACTACATGCATGTTCAGAAATTAAATTACACCATATGTATGTTGTATGTATTTACCTTACATAAACCGGCATGCCTATTATAAGCAAATAGTGTTGCTGTAATATATTGCAATGGCAACAAGATCGGGCAATATTGACCTTGTTATTGAAATGGTATAATTAATATATACCTCTATAATGTACATCACCCACCACTGTATTAGAAATACTGTAATTAGGACATCTAATATAACTCATGACCAAAACTCCATGACTCCAGTAATTCTAATTCTATGTATATCTAACGCAGAACAATGATATTTGCGCACATCCGAATTCAAATCAAAACATCAACACTGGAACACCAGCAGTCAATTTTATGTTAGGGTTGAATAAATAGTAATAGAACCCTATAAGCCAAACCTGATGCTGCAAACTTCAATGAACTCGAAAGATCATTTGACCAAGGACCAAAAAGATTCTCTTGGACTTAAGTTGTCATCCTTCTGAAAAATGTCTGTTTCTTTTTGACTTTTTAAGCATCACCATATATCACTGTACATGTTTATGCTTTACATCGAAGACGGATGTGCACACTTCTTTTCCCGTATTTTTAATTTGAAAAGCAATATAGCAAAGTTTAGATAATTTGGCCTATTCCTTAATAAGAAGTTAGAAAGAGATGCGTTCATAACAACTATTTATAAGTTATTAATTATTTATAGGTTTGTCATTAAGGTGCGGATCGATTTGTCCTGTATATTACAATACAATACAATGATTGTTGAAGGCCAAGAAAAATATTTACCAAATTTAACTGATGATTTTAACAATAAAACATCAAATGTCATCACGTACTAATTATTTTAATAGATTTGGGATACGTACACTAAAGGACGGTGTCAAACAGGGGAAACCGGGGAATAGTTCCCGACATCTTACTGTGGTCAAAGAAACCAGCTACGTTCAAATGTTCCATGTCCCTTTCCCTTATCCAGTGATCAGAGTATTCAAATTGACACAGAAGATATTTTTCATCTTCCCTTAATCAGACAGAGCTATCCTTTTAGTCCCCCTCCGTTGATCGCTGGCCTCATCGGGCTTCGGGCCTCGCCTCGTAGTAGTCATCTCTCAATTTCCCCCCCCCCCCCCTCCCCCAAACCCCATTTCGAAATACGCCCTGACCAATATTTGATATAGTGCTCTGGTAGGATCGAAGGTAATTTTATATTACCACTATACATGTAGGACTATAAAACTCGCCTATACATATTGCGTAATGAAACGTGTTTGCTGAAATATATCCTTTATTTGTTGCTTTTGTATAACTGAATATAAAAAATGAAGTCATTCTATTGATAATTATGAATGGCAAGACAACATAGCCCATCCTAAATTTAGGCCCTGTTGTCACTTATGAAAGTCCTAAGTTCACAAGGAAAACACTAAATATAAGTCCAGTTTAAACCAATTTAAAGTGGTTGATTTTGTGGGAAGGCTCAAATATCTTACCTTCAACTCAAGAATATATGCCGACACCCCCACCCCTGAAAAAAGGGAGAAAAAAATGTCCTGTTTACTAGCTTTTAAGGAGGTAGGCCTATTATAGTGGTCTATAGGTTTAAGTATTGAGTTGAGAGTTAAAAAAAATGCTTTAGTATTGCTATCAAACATTTATACGGCTTTTAAAACCACTTCTACAAATCAATGCTGAAATATTTCCTAATTTCTAATATCAAAATGGCCCTTTTGCCCTTAAGGTAGCCTCGAACCCCGCCATAATATATACCTGTGACACCAGAAAAGGTTAGCGCTAGGGAATTCCACAGTTTCCAATCCCTAATCGTCCCAATGTAGGTCACTTATCGAATGGAAAATATTACTAAATTATGATTTAATATAATTTATTATTGCGCTTTTCTTAAACCATCTTAAGACCGGCACTTGTATTTAACGTGTGAAATAATGCGCACGTTTTGATTAGTTAATTCTAAACCGTTATATTATTCAACCAATAAAAAGAAGGAAATTACTCATTATGTCATGCGCACTTACAATACATATTTATTAATGAACTAGTCGAGGTCGATTGGTCTTGACTGTAATAATTTTTTCAATAATTTCCCAGTGAAGTATTAGGACTGGTTGTTAGAAGCTAAATAAAAAAAAGTGTTTCACGCACTGAACACGAGTGAAGTTATCGACTATTTCTACTATAATTCAACGTGTTTCGACTCAGTTCATATTTACTACTGATATCACCTAGTCATAGACAGAGAGCTGAGCGCCGGTTTTTCATACTCTTGTAGTATCAAAAACCAATTCCAATGACGAAAAGGACCCCCAGGAACAATGAAGCGGAGGAAACGTTGACGCCTGATTTGTTTGATCTTGTGGATGGAATTGATGAAGGGTTCGTCGAAGAAAAGGTAAGGAATATTTCTTCATTTTCTCATTAAAGCAAAATGACCCGTCTGGGTTTTAATTTTGCTTATGATCTTCCATCTTTTACTCTCCCAGGAGGCTTCCACCAAAAATGGCCACGTCGTCTGCAAAGGGCTGCTTGGAAAAGACTCGAAGCTGGAGATTGATATTGAAATGGGGAAAGTTACGGAAGAAAAAGATGAGGGATTTTCATCTCTGGGTGCCAGTTTAACAGACGTGGAAGCAACGCCTGCAAAGAATTCTGATGTTTTTGTGGAAGCAGACGACATCGGATCTTTGCCGCCTGAAATTGGTGCGTAGTTTACTCTTGAAAATATCAATATGTTGTGTGGTTGTTAGATTTTGTTGTAAATTTCTGTAAAATTTTAAAATTTTCGTCCGAAATATTTGCAACATCCTCTATTGCCGTCTATCTTCACTCAACAACCAACAACGTGCTTTCATTGTAACTGCCACGCGCCCTAGTTCAATCTCCGCACTTTAACATCTGTTTCCTCTGTTGGTTGTTAGAAAAATTGCGCGCTTCATCGAGTATCTATTAAAATTGTACCGAGTATTGATTTCCATACTTTTAAATGAGACCAGACATGAACACGTGAGATTTTATGGGCTCTTCACATTATATTAATATTTGGCAATCAGAAAACGCACCAAAACCCCGTGTCCTTTGAAGGACACATGAAAATATTGGCCCTATTCATGATATATAGTTAATATTCCTACATGGCGGATGAAAATTGTATCATCATAGTAATCTGGTAATTATTTGACATAACCGAAAAAGGAAAATGAATTTCTAACGAAAAAGGATTTAAAATAAATTCTGAGGCGGATGCGAACATGTTCTAATATATGACGTCGCCAGCAATATAATGAATACGATATTATAGTTGCTACAAGTACAAATAAAGAAGTAGGCCTAATGACAATTTGAAAAAATGGGGTCAATGTTCTCGAAAAATATTCCTGTCTGATCAACTGAATAGTGGTTCAACAACCCACTGCTCGACTTGTAATGTATTATCACTCGCCCCAGTCTACTTCAGTCATTTGGCGCTAAAATTAGACTGTAGTACTATTGTTCTTGCACGAGTATCATGTTACAGAATGGACTGATTTGGCATTCTCTGATATTTCTAACGGTTGATTTTGACTTGCATGTGCTATTAACGGCACCATATTTCATGTTCAGAACATGTGCCTGTCAACTTATGGCTGCCAATACATGTACATACTACCGTTACCGGTATTGGTATCATTTTCATGTACATATTCCTTGTGATAAAACTTTTAGATTTTGTTTTTGATCTCAAATTTGCATCTTAAGATGGCCTTTCCATGGAAATTTTTATACTACAAATAAAAAAGCGGTATTACTCTTCACCACATTGTTTTACTCCATACTACAATTTAAAACAATGTTTTAATTTATACTATAATATAAAACAACATTTTACTCTATACCAGATATAAAACAATGTTTACTTTATATCACAATTTAATGTAATCTTCAAGTAAGACTTCAATGTAAAAAAAAAAGGTATTAGTTTATACTCTGTAATAAAATTTATTACAATGTTTTACTCTATACCACTTCAGTTTATAACAATGATTTACTCTATACTTCAGTTTATAACAATGATTTACTCTATACTGAAATTTAGAGGAAACCTAAAGTAATACTTAAATTAAGAAACAGAGTTTTACTCTATACTTCAATTCAAAACAATGTTTTACTTTAAACTACAATTTAAAACAATGTTTTACTTTATACTACAATTCAAAACAATGTTTTACTGTATACTACCATTCAAAACAATCTTTCACTTTATACTACAATCCAAAACAATGTTTTACTCTATACCATAATAAAAGGCAATGTTTTACTCTGTAACAACAATTCAAAACAATGCTTTACTCTATACTACAATTCAAAACAATGCTTTACTCTATACTACAATTCAAAACAATGCTTTACTTTATACCACAATATAAAACAATGTTTTACTCTATACTTCAGTTTAAAAAAATGTTTTACTCCATACCACAATTCAAAACAATGTTTTACTTTGTGCTAAAATTCAAATCAGTGTTTAACTCTATACTTCAATTCAAAACAATGTTTGAGTCCATACTAAAAACAATTTTTTAATCCAAATTACATCATTTAATATTTAATTTTGATTCATTATACTAATGGCAACCACACTTTCACAAAAATTGTCTGAGCTTTGACGACTTCCTTATTTCTCACTGTAGTGAAACTAACTTCATATTGGCCATGAGGAAATAACCTTTATTGTACCCATTTTATAGTTTTATTTTCATCAAGGTAATTTATTGACTAACTTTGTTGCAATGAAAATGTGATGACTGATATTTACTAATGACTCACTATGAATATAGCAGGAAATAGGTATTTAGTAATATTGATGTTTACATTGCTTTGTTATCAGTGACAGTTCTTAAAGGGAGGGGGAGGGGTGTAGATTTATGCCCTTTATTTTCAAAAAGTTTTCTCCCTGACCCCCTTCAGAATATATTCAAATAAAAATTCCTGTACTTATCAACAACCACTTTCTAAATATTCTGATCATATTAATCATCCCTTGACACAAAAATATACAATCTCGATGCGAGTGTAGATTTTTTTTTGTATTTGATAAAAAACACTTATTCTTTAGTCTTTTTTTTAAAAAAATAATTAAAGGTAGAAAGCCATAACATCTGTTCTTCATAAAAAGGTAAATTTTCACCAGAATCAATAGCCCTGAAAAGTTTGAAGTAAATTAAAAGAAATTGAATTGTTAATATTCTGGACAAATCTATTTTACTATAATTTTTATTGTTAACAAGACAAAAGATCTATATTTTAAGTAGGCTAATATGTACATGCTACAGATTATATTTTGAAATTGTGCCAAAAATGTGAAAAATATATTTGTTATTTGGAAATAAGATTTTGTTTGCTTGATATTTTGTTAATCCTTTCTTAAAAAAATATGGGATTGTTCTATCCTGTTATTTTAAATAGAATGTTGGGTATCTATAAATAGCCTTGTGTGGTTATGCTGTTACTATGGTTCCCAATAATCAATACAATTCTCCTGATAACACAGTTTCTTCTAGTCTTTGAGTCTGGGATTTATTTTTAACAGTGCAATGTTACAGTTCCTTTCTTAATTTGAAGTTTTGCAGCTATTCAGGCAGAAAATCTCATCTAAAATAGTCTGTTGCCATTTTGATGGGTTGTTCTGAGTTTCAGCCCACACATTGTAGCTGGAACTAAAAATACAATTGTTGATTGCACCAGAATCCCTCCAAGGCCTTGCTAATAATAAAAGAAATATGTTGTTTCAAAATTTAAAAAAATGTCTGTTACTGTTCAAATATAAAAACGAATTCTAGTATTTGCTATGAATTTACACAAATTTGTGTTGATCTATCTCAAATTTTTATGAAATTTGGTCAAATTGTAAGTTTTATAAATTGTACTAGATTACTGATATAAATATCAATATATTTTGTAGTCATTAATCACTGGGGAGAACTAGTCGTAAATATTGAATTGTTATTGACTAGGTCTTCAATGAAAGATTACTACTAACTTCATTCACATAATCTAACGTAAACTTGTCAGCCACACTTAAATCAGCCGGATCAGACTGGTTCCAAGGTGGAATATTCTGGTTTTAGGATATTTTTATTTCAGTCATCTATATTTTATTACATTGGTGTAAACGTTTCTAAATGGTGGCTGGAAATATAGATTTTTGCACATTAGCCGCATTAACATGCAGTTATTACCCATGATGTCATAACATTGGTAACAACTGTATATTAGACATCAATAATGCTCTCAAATTAACATAGTCTATATTGGTGTGGATTGTCTTTCTTGATTTGCAGTGCAGTTGCAATCAATTGTTAATTCTGAAAAGTGTCATGGATAGCTGAAATTGATCTCTATCAGCTATCAGTAATGTGGCTATACAGTTAGCTGAAATTGAGCTCTTACAGCTAATAAAGCAAATATGTAGATGAAAGTGTCCCTTTAATTTCATATTGATTTGATATTTGAATGAATGTGACACTAATTTCATTTTCAAACAGCCATTACAGTCTGTAAGCATTACATATATTATGTTTAGTGATGCAAGTATAAATATGTTAGTTAATTATAGTGTTATCTATTATGACACATAGCAAGAACACTGAATATCATTCTATTGTTGAAGACTTAATAAAACAAACCCATATATTTCTATTATGTAGGCATTGTCCCTTAGATTACAATCTTCTTATACATTTAAGATTGTGGTCTGATTTTTGGGCTACACAAGGAGGCTCATATGACTTGAACATGATATTTAGAGGCCAAAATTCTTCTAATATTTCATTTTGACATTTACATGACTTAGCTGCCTGCATTCCCCTTTTGAATGACATGTATCTGTATGATATTATGGGAAAATCCCAACATTTAAAAAGAAAAAAGCAAATAAAGTTGAAAGACTAAAGTTCACAAGGTCCATTCTACATGCAAGTCATTTATCCAACAATTTGAAAATGTATTTTCCTGCATATTCCCATACCCTTTTACAACTGTGTAAAATAGAAATGATGACTTAGCCAAGTGCATTTAAGTGCTTGTCATGTTGGATGTTTTGAGGACAAGTTTTAAAACTAATCAGTTTGCCAGGCGTTGTAAAATATACTTTAAAACCTGAAGCACCTGGCCTATTCCTAGAGCAATTAGTAATTCTTTACCTCACTTCTGTCAGCTATAAACCTATCCACATAGTTTTTATCCTATATTTTTTATGTCTTCTGTCTACAAGTAGGTGTGTAACCTTGTTTAATCACATAACTATAAATTTTCTAAAAAATAAATGGCTGTCCAACAAATGTAACAAATGATATCATCTTAGAACAATGCACTAGTCAGCATAATCTTTTTACTGACTGACACCTTACTGTTGTTAGATGTGCTGTCTTGAAGGGATAGATGCAGAATTTTGGGGGTTGATTTTAATCTTGAATAAATAATAATAGTCTTCAGAAGTACTTGTAATGGACAAAAATTGCATAATTCCTTTTCTTCCTTTTCTATATATGTCTTTTCTGTATATCACAGAGTATATTAAAATGACGAGTCATCATTTTAACATTCAAATGTGGATAACTCTGGAGACACATGGATTTGAAGACTTAAATTCTACAGTGAGCTGTGAACACTATTACTGATTGGCTTAGCTACAATATTACTGTTTCTGAGATTAAAGTATGATATGTCCAAAAATATGGCGCACCTGTCCCTTTATCAAATACAAATTCCACCATTTTGGGAATAAGGTTCTCATTATTTCCCTGAACACCTCAAATTTAACCTCTCTAAAATCTTGAGAACAACTTTTGACTCATATCTGACTAAATTCCTGTTACTGACTGAGACTTAGATACAATTGGTAACAAAAATGGTGCATCTATCCCTTTAGAATCTCAAAAACAGAAATTTTTTGGATAAGCTATTCAGTAATAGTGTTCACAGCCCAATGTCAAAATTTTTGCCTTCAAATCCATAGGTGTCCAGAGATAACCGCGTTTGAAAGTTAAAGAGTCAACGCGTCTTTTCTTGACACTAACCTTATATAGAAAGACATATAGAAAAAGAAGGTTGAATTCTTCTTAGTTTGAGCTATATTTGAAGAAATTATGCGTTTAAATATTAAATATAGACAAAATATTCTGTATTTAAATCAAATGACAAAATATTTAAATAGTGAAAATTTACATACTTTACTTTAAAATAAATCAATTTTGATTATATTCAGAATAAATAGAATTTATTTTGTAACGTGTTGAGTGTTGATCATACGACCTGTTGGGGATACAGACCACAAAAAGTTACATTAAAAAATACCATAATACAACTAAATTGAACCAGGGCCTTAATAGCTACAATGTAGCTTTGGGTATGTAAACAAAGGTACAAGTTTGATCATTTGATGGCTTTCATGTAACTTGTCAAGTATCAATAGGTTAAGGGTGTCCTTTCAAGGTCATTCATATTATACTGCCTCAAGGTCATTGAAACAGGATACTATGCAACATTGAAGCCAATACAGACAGCACTTGTCTTGGAAGAAATTAACAAACATGTACCTTTCTTTGGTCTAATTATCAACACAAGGGCCTTTTTGTTTCAGTTGACTGATGAAATGAAGGTCATTTAAATGAAAACTAAACAATAGTCTATTTTTGACACTGCTCAAAGTTTGCAGAAAATTCTAGACATTTAATTGACCCACACACTAAAGACCAATAGTAACCTCTGAGACATACATGGAAGTTAAAACCAAAGGAATAATGATGCTTACCACAAAACAAACCTAAAAATCCAAAATCCATTGGCAATATATTGATAGCTAATGAACTTTTTGTATGAGGAAGTCTATCAATCAAAAATTAGGAAGTGAAAAGTGGTGGAAGAGTATGCATACCCCGTCTGATATCACACCCACCATTCCTGCCCAAAATGCAAGGTAAAAGCAAAACCAAGTGTTATTTAAAATTATAAAAACAATGAAAATATTCTGTAATTGAATTAAAAAAGACAAAATATTCTGTAATTGAATTAAAAAAAGACAAAATATTCTGTTATTATATTAAATAAAGACAAAATATTCTGTTATTAAATTAAATAAAGCCAAAATATTCTGTTATTATATTAAATAAAGACAAAATATTCTGTTATTAAATTAAATAAAGCCAAAATATTCTGTTATTATATTAAATATATACAAAATATTCTGTAATTGAATTAAAAAAAGACAAAATATTCTGTTATTATATTAAATAAAGACAAAATATTCTGTTATTAAATTAAATAAAGACAAAATATTCTGTAATTGGATAAAATAAAGACAAAATATTCTGTTATTATATTAAATAAAGACAAAATATTCTGTTATTATATTAAATAAAGACAAAATATTCTGTTATTATATTAAATAAAGACAAAATATTCTGTTATTAAATTAAATAAAGCCAAAATATTCTGTTATTATATTAAATAAAGACAAAATATTCTGTAATTGGATAAAATAAAGACAAAATATTCAGTATTCATATAATTATGGACACATGTCCGCATATACATAATTCAGTTTGAAACATGTTCATCATTTATTAACTTCATCCTAGCTGCTAGTATGACTAATGGGAATATGAAGATATTTTTAAAAATAGCTGATTTTAGTCAGAAAGAAGGTGATAATTTCAGTTTTAAACATTATATTATCAAAATGTGGGATATAGTTATGAATAAGTTGATGCATATGATGAAGGATGTATTTGTCTATTTCTAAAATACACATCATCACTAAAAACTGCATTTTAAACAAAATGGTACATTGTTGTAAGCTTACATTGTATTAATTTCTTTATAACATTATAATCTGGAGCTGCCAAATTATGCTTTCATTTATAAAAGCAACTTAAGGGATGTTGGGAATATTTCGATTGATCAGGTATAGTCATGCAACACTAATTTTGAAAATCTAGGTGTTATTCAAAATAAAATAAAAAGTCTGCCTTTAGGACATGTTAGTAGTAATGGACTGAATAATTCTAGCTTTTTCTGTTTCGATTTATTCTGTCGAAAATGGACTATTCAAGTTTATGTTTGGAATTGAACCTTGATACAAATATGTTTGCTTGTCTATATATAACTCTATGTAAAATATATGTTAATCCTTCTAATCTGACATTATGTTGCAGGTTTTGACATTTCGTTGACAAAAAATAAATCCAACTTTTGCTTTCTGATTTCAGGGGTGAAAAAAGGGCGAAGAATTTTACTGACATTAGGCAAATTGATCCTTGTCTTTGTTCTGTTGTATTTTTTTATCTGTTCCCTGGATTTCCTCAGTTCAGCCTTTAGATTGGTGGCTGGCAAAACAGCAGGTAAGTTTTTAAATAAACGTTACTTTAATATCAATTTTTTTTTATTTCATAATTTCATTAAATACACTCATTTGATAAGGTGCCGTGGGTTATAATTCTCCTTAAGGTAAGAACAACTTTGATGCCTGAGCCTGTGATTCCAAGCGTCGACTTTCATCTGCTGCCCCTGCCTGCCTTGACTTCTGAATTGTGTAAATATTTTTTTTTAATATAAAAGGTTCGGTGACCATGTTATTGATGAGCATCATAAGTGATAAGCGTGTCTACATCCACCCACTTTGTGACAGCTTTGTTTGTGCAATCGATATTTGTTCCAGATGAAATCTATTCTCAACAATAGATACTTTCTAAGGGATGATAATTTGTGACAAAATGGTTTTGTTGTTGCTTTCAACACATAATATAAATTCCACAAAAGTTATTCACAGATATTGATGGCATGTTCAATAATACTTGCTACATCACAATAGTCTATTGATGTTTGACATAACGTTTATGTTGATGTTTCAATCTGAAATACTTCTACAAAAGTTAGTTACTGATATCGGTGGCATGTTCAATAAATACTTGCTACATCACAATGGTGTATTGATGCTTTCAACCAATTCCACAATTTGTTGGCATTAAATAATGCTAGCTACCAGACCATGGCGTATTCATTTTTATGTAATTAAAAAGATCGTTGATTATTTGCTGAAATTTGAACTTAGCTTTGAGTCTGGCAAAAAGAGCCAACCTGACATTCCTGAATCAAAATGATTTATATTTTGATGTTATATTTTAGGAAATGTGTTTGCTGACAGTGAGTTATTAATGAATCCTATTAGTGGATTAATGATTGGTGTCCTAGCAACAGTTTTACTTCAGTCTTCTTCAACCTCTACATCTATTATAATTACCATGGTGTCTGCTAACAGTAAGTATATTAGGGGTTGGTTTTGGGTGAGAGGGAGGGGTCAAACTTGTTATAAATTTATATATGGTTTATGACTTCAGTCATTCTTCCCTCCAATTAATAGCAATGCAAGATGTTTCACTCAATTTCAATGAAGTCTTGATGGTGATAAATGGTGATAAATAAAGAAATTTTCCTTCTTAATAAACATCTAATGATCAATGGGTGTACTGACTCCAAATATTCAGTTGCTTAGAGGAGAGGAATGGTGGAGGTTAAAATTCGATCTCCCATGTCATATCACCTGAAATACAAGTTTTGCCCCAAACATTTCTGACAGCTGTCTGCAAACACTATCTTCTATGCCAACGGTTTGATATAGAAATAATGTGAAGATTAAATGGTGCAAATTTTAATATTAATCAAAATTAAGATGAATGGCAAAATGTACAAAATACAGTGACAAAAAACTCACAAATAAAACCTTCAATAAGGTATAGAACTGTACTATAATAACTAAATCTAAATAACCAACTAACAGCCCAAAGGCAATCATTAACCAATTTCCACAGAACTAGAGAAGTGGGTCTCTGCAGGTCAATAGAACCTGTTACATTTACTATTTATCATAGACCAGAAACCAGAAAACATCTCCAGGGTATTGGTATCATATAAATATCATGAGCTATGTGAACTCTCTGATCCTAAAGCCATGTTGCCTTTAACCCTTGTTGATGTACATTATTAAAGAGTTATTGAGTAGCTATACGTATATATCAAAGGAGTTAATGTGAATAATCAAGTCTTTAGGAGAGATCAAATTTCAGGAACTGTTTATACTGCAGAATCAAATAATTATAATATTGATAAATGAAGTAGAAATTTAAAAAAAAAATCTGAAAAGGCCTGTGATATCAAATTTTGAAGAAGTTACTCATCTATAGAAACATTGGTGCAGGTAAAGTAAAGGTTAGAGCATTCAGTGTTTTAAGATTTAATATTCAACAGAATCAAAAGCTTAGGTCACTGGAAGAGAATTTAGATATTACATAAAGCAAGAAAATAAATAAATAAATCAAGATTAACGAAAACTTAATTTCCACTGCAGTAATTTCTAATAGATAAGACCGTCTGAGATAAGGAAGTTTCCAGTCAAACTTGGGAAATAAATGGGCGAGAAGATCTGGCTACAAGCCAAGTAATTACTACATTGGGATTAAATCAGGATAGAATTGACAGGTCTCTATAAATATCATCAGTTTATTTTTGCCAGGATTTGAAACCTAAGATAAGTCTGAAATTTTAATTTAGAAAGAATTCTTATAAATGTTGAAAATTGTCAACAAAAGAAGCTTAACTTAAACTTATATTGTTTAAATAGAAAGTTTTAAATGACAGTGTAGCCTTATGATAGTCTAACATTTGCTGATGTTACTAAAAAAAATCTCGTAGCGTTGATCTTTCCTGAATTATTTTTATCTAGAAATAGAAAGCTAGAAATAACAAGGAAAGATGACTTATTTAAGGTCACCAGACTGTACAATGCAGCCGGTGAAATACAATTTAAAATGCAATGAATTACAAGTTTGCTGACATTCCAAGATAACAAATCTCAATAACATATTGACAGTAGAGGGGTAATATCTCAGGAGAAGGGTAATATAGGCCAAAGTCTTTTCCCCAATCCCTTTCATTTTTAAAAGAATAAATTTATTGTTTACAGGAAAAAAAAAAAAAAAAAACTGTGACAGATGGTTGAGCTCAATTTTTAAAATGTGTAATTTGTGTATATTTCAGTTATTGATGTCCAACCAGCCATACCAATAATCATGGGTGCCAATATTGGAACCACTGTAACCAATACCATTGTTTCCATGGCTCATTCTGGAGATAAGGAAGAATTCCGTAGAGCATTTTCAGGTGCCACAGTTCATGATGTGTTTAACTGGTTAACTGTACTAGTTCTTCTTCCATTAGAAGTAACTACAGGTACGCTCATGCTTTTCAAAGCACCTCTTTAATATCTTTTTATAAGGATCATGGTTCGCTATTTTTGGGGTGGATTTTGGTCTTATTAATATGTAAAATATTTCCTGTTTCTGATATTAAGGTACAAACCAATGATGAACCTGTCTCATTAATAAAAATCCTGTGATTGGTAGTTGGTGACAAAACTAAGCAAAGTGAACAAACTATCTAAACAGGATTGAGAATTTCAGTAGTCTCTTTAAACTTGGTGAAAAAAATAAATTGTACATAACTTGATTTTATTAAGAAGGAAACTTCAACACAAGATCATTACCTTAGAGTTCAAAATTCAACAGAATATGACCTCGAACATTTTAATGTTGCAATCATACATATCTGGCAAATACACTTTGAACTGTAAATATTATTTGTCTTATTACCAGGTTGTCTTTACCAACTGACCAAGAAGATTGTGGACAACTGGAATTTTGAAACATTCAAAGGTGGTAAAAAAGATTTATTAAAAACCATCACCAAACCTTTAACCAAATTAGTTGTACAGGTAATTTATTTTTATCAAAAATATTTTTCATAACAAAATATCTGGGGAAAGAGAAATACATCAGGGTTGAGATATGCCACCAGATCAAGTCTCAAAACACAAGAGAGTGGCATCACAAAATATTTAGACCACCACCCCCCCCACCCCCCCTTCCAGTACCTATTGACCAACCCGCAATGATGCACCATAACAGCACATTTCCCATATGAAAAATCCTGTAATATTTGTGCCTAATAGGTTATTTATATATGAACCTACTTTGTCCTGTCAAGAATGATCTTGTAAGATGTATTTTGGTCAAAAATATCTGAAAGAGCATATTATGTTTTTATAGTGTTTAATTAATAAAATAATCCTCAAAAAAAAAAAAAGAATTGAATTTATTTGTATTAAATCATCAAATTTGTTTGATATTTAAAATTAATTTATTTGAGAAAAAATTGGCTAGACTTTGTAAATATTTTTTTTAAACTTTTGTCTGGATTTTTAAAACAAATGTTTCAAGTGAAAATCATAAAGGAAAGTACATGATCACTGTTCAAACATTTACTGAAAATCATTTGTGGAGATTAGACCAAGTCACATGCAAATATAAACGTCTCTCCGTGATGTTGACCAATAGTTTTAACTTAAAGTGTTCACATCAAACCATGAAAGAAAATATTTGTGACACCCCCTAGAAAATTCTATTGACCTATATATTTTGACGAGTCAGCAATTTCTAAATTTATTTAGGTCAATTTACTGGGTCACTACTAATCACTTTAAAGTCACAATTGGGGTGACTATCACTGTCAAACTTTTTATCCCATCTTTTTTTAAACATTTGAAATTGTTATTGAAAATTGGCAGTTTTCCCTAAATATGAAATTAAATCAAAAATTTCTATTGAAAATTCTTGTTTTCCTACATAGATCAAAATTTCTAGGCCATAACTCCCCACCGAATAATTGGCAAATATTATTATTTGAATATTTATTTTCTTACAGATTGACAAAAGTGTAATTACGGATATCGCCGAAGGTAAAGCTGATGTCGAAAACAAAACTATACTGAAAATTTGGTGTAAATATGATAAAGTAATAATTAACAGTACCATGACAACAGAATTAACCAATCAAAGTTCAGTATTAAATTCTACATTGCCATCATTTTATAAAGAACCTGTTGAAAAATGTAAGTATAGATAATTATTAAATGGTCCACTAGTTACTATTGGAATTTATGAAGTTTCAGCTTCACCCATCCAAGAAACCAATATGAAACGTCTAGATGGCAACTTTTGGGGTTTATTCGTTTTATTCATCTTTAAATGATCAGAGATGGCTTTATGACTGACCTTTCCTTTGGTCGACTTCAGTTTCTTACCAGTTAGATAAGAACTGGTATGTATCAGTTGTTTTTGTATGATTTGATTGGCACCTTATAATGGATGGTCTATTGTTTGTAATTTCAGGTGTATCAGTGTTTAGTTATATTGGTTGGAGTGACACCATTTCTGGAATTGTTCTTCTCATCTGTTCTTTATTAATGCTCAGTGGTTGCCTCATTCTCATAGTTAAATTACTACATTCCATCCTTCGCGAAGAAATAGCTACCATCTGCAAAAAAACAATCAACGCCAACTTTCCTGGAAAATTTTCATTCCTTACTGGTTATGTTGCTATCTTAGTGGGTGCTGGCATGACAATTTTAGTACAAAGTAGTTCTGTTTTCACATCAGCTCTTACACCATTGGTTGGTGTAGGATGTTTAGAGCTAGAAAGAATGTTACCTTTGACCCTAGGGTCAAACATTGGTACCACAGCAACTGGTGTACTAGCGGCGCTAGCAGCACCTGCAAAACGATTAGACGTTTCTTTACAACTGGCTCTCTGCCATCTATTTTTTAACATTCTAGGTATATTATTATATTACCCCATTCCTTTTATGCGTAAACTACCACTTCGTGGAGCTCGTTTCCTTGGAGACACTACTGCTGAATATCGTTGGTTTGCGATTTTTTATTTATTTATGATGTTTTTAGTCATGCCTGGTGTATTTTTCGGAGTTTCCATGGCAGGTAAAATTCCACTAATAATTGTGATATGTACAGTATTAACATTAGGAGTAACCATAACGATAGTTAACATTCTACAATCCAAACTGCCTCGTGTCTTGCCAAACTTTCTTAAAACTTGGGATTTCTTGCCAGAGTGTTTACGATCCCTTGCTCCGATAGACAGGATCATTAAAAAAGCACTGAGTGTGTGCAAGTGCTGCCCTTGTGCCTCTTGTAAATCTGAGCAACCAGAAGAGGAAGTTGTTGAAGAAATGTCATCCAGTCCGATTGTGAAAAATTGTGGGCCTCGGCAACGAACAATCAGTAAATCTAGTCAAGATGGAAGTACACCATATCAAATGTTAAAACAAGTGATGCCGAAATTAAATCCTCGTAAACGGAACATAAGTTGTTCAAGCACTGGTGAAAATGGCTCGGATGAAAATCTAATTGCTGCAATGGAGAACGGACCAGAGATGGCAAGCACTGAGCTTTCATTTGTTGATGAGAGTAGTCCTGAATTACCACTGAAGAGCCCCAAATAGGAACATCGAATCTCAATACCCCTCATATCATTCCCACTTTATTATGTACTTTTCTTTGTAGAATCATAACAGTTTGATTTTATATACAGCTATGCATAAATTATCAATGATTTTCAAGCCCTCTAAGGGAAAAATTATATCAAACAGCAAATAAGAGTAATAGCGAATACACCATGTAAAAATATAATGATATGCCCTGCGTTACTTTTCTGGGGAGTACGGTTGTTTTGTTTTTGTTTTTGAAAAGTTAACCATCTCCTGATAGCATACAATCACAGTTGGTTAAAACATAACTCTGGAAGAAGGGAATTGAACTTCCAAGTAAAAACCCATATACTTTAGAAATAATATTATTTTTATATATGATTGTAATTATTCTGTTATTGTATTAAACTGTATTTTATACAAAAATAAATGTGTACTGAATTATTCGCAATTGTTCCATGTGTTGATTTGCCCAGTATAAGGAGGAATTTGTGCATATCATCAAATACTTTTCTTCTTTTTATTAACAGTTGTTGGAGATAACATGTGATATCAATCAAGGAGTTTTGGTGCAGATTTGATCAGTTCCAAGGACTAAAAATGTGTTATCGAGACCATTTGCCTGAAAGACTTGATCAGAATCTCAAATATAATAAAATGAAATGAATGGAGTTTTATGTCCTACTTTTCTGCACCTTATGGGCCAAGGAAGACGAGCCAAATATAAAAAGAACAAGAGTCTTTACATTCCCTTGGATTCAGTACATCCTAAGATAGTAACATCTATTCAGACTAGATTGGGTATGCTAGGGGGAAACAACTCCATCAAAACTCAAAGCTTGCAGTGGAGTGCAATAACCGATCACCTGTATGCATATTAAAGATGGAGGAGCCAAAAAATTTGTCACTATGGCAAACATCACAAAGTTTATGATAAGGGGTGATCTTTATTTTGAATCTAGTAATGATACCAGTCTCAAGCTCATGGCATCATCTGTTTTATTACGAATCTGAACACACTGTCATTTTAATTTTCAGTCAAATCCCATAATAAACTACAAACCTATTTACATGTACACACTAAACAAGGTCAAAGGTCACATTTCATAATTTAGATCTATTCAGATTTAGGTGAACTGGAAGCATTATAAACTTTAGGTAATTTTAATCCTACAAGATTAGCACTAGTTTCAACATCTTTTTCTTGTCCTTTATATTCCGCATGTAGAGCCTGAAATTACAGAATTAAAAATTCTTATGATGAAAAATTGTTGTTACTATCTAATTTTACACTGAACAATATTCAAACCATATTTAGACAGAAATTGATAGTATGATTTTTCCACAAACAGGACCCTGATCTTTTCAAGGTTGAACTAATTAAGCCAGATATCTTGGGTTGGACCCACATCTCTTACTAATGGTGCAGCTTCTAACACCTAAAAATTGCTCAACAAACTATGTATGGTTCTTACATGGAAATAACACATGAATGTAGTTCACAACCAGTCGGAATCTTTTCCTCAACTTTGGAAGCAGATGTTAGCTTTTCATCATCCAACCAACCTTTAATAGCTCTTAACATCTTTCTTTTGTTCACGTTGTTCAACATTGAACAACCAAATGCACTTGTTTATGACTAATAGATTCTGTTTACAAATATAAAGATAACAGTACCTCATATTTTCTGTTACTCTGTAGTAGACAAGCGTAAGTTTCCCCCAAATGTTGCATATCATTTGGCCCACGACATATCTGTTCACCTGTGGCTTGGAACTTGCGAAACTGTTCTTTAACAAATGTTTGTGCTGGTGTTTCTGACTTTTGCTGCAATTAGAATAAATTGTATCTTGATCACATCCTGATCACAATCATATCATTATCAGTAGGCCCTTTAACCCTTTTATCAGCTTCCCAGTCACTCTATTTCTGCATATGTCCTTTCTATATATGGCTCAAAGAGTCTCAAGAAAAAAACAGTCGACCTTTCAAACACAGATAATTCTGGACACAAAATTCGACAAGGAGACGTCTACAGCATGATGTCCGGTAAGGTTGAGGCATTTAGGGTCGCTCGAGAGATCTCCATCTGTCATTCGGGTCACTCAGGAGAGTAAATATGGCTGAAAAACATGCTGAGTTGGTGAAGTTTCAAGTGTAAACATTACTTTACAATGTAAGCCTCGGCTTCCAAAGCCAATTTTAATGAACCAGGACCTATAAAGTGTTTATAAGCTCACAACAGAAAATTTGCGATTCAGATATGATTGTCCTGTCTGTAGTCAGAGGTAGGCTATGATATGGTCAAACAAACGACGAACCTGTCCCTTTAAATCTGTCATTTTTACCCCACAAAGTAACAGAAATAGCTCAAATCTCACTGACGAATAATGACGGTAGCTTTATTACTACATTATTAGGACTAGGTTTATAGTTATATATATATATAGAGTACTCTCCCTTTATTGGTTTTAATTGACAATTTCTTGAAGGTCGTTTCAAGATCTCTCCATGGGTTTTAAAAGCCAAATGTCCCAGAGTGTGTTCACCGTACAGTCAAACATAGAACATGTTATTTAAATCTTTTAGAATTACCTTATAGACCTGTCGAAGCTCCCTCAATAGAACTCTGTATAGAGAAGCGTTCGCCCTGGGCGCCGCCATATTTATTGTCTCGAGAGAAAATACGAGATCCAATATGGACGTCAAATGCATCATTTTCTAAAATCGGTATCTTCTTTTTACGATTTGTCATCATTTTAGACAATACATTGAAAATGGCACAAGCTGAAAATGAGGGGAAGAACCTGTCCGAAATGTTTGAGGACATTTTGAAAATTTATAACTACTTAGATACTTGTGATGACCCGACGGTTTCCGATAAATATCAGGTGAAAACTTTTTGGCGATTTTCAATACAACTTCCGTCGTCTGCATTTGTATTTTTTATAGATCATCGACAGATATGTGTAAACAGCCTTAACAGTCGTAGGACTAAAAATATATCATTATGATATATTATTTTATGTGAATGGGTCAGATGCAATTGTATAATGATCTATTAAGCTCTCAATTTCTGAAAAGAACTTGTTTGTCAATTTTGATGTAGGGCCTAAAACTGTATCGCACTGTTATTTTTCTGGAAATTCTCCATTTCAGGCAGAGGTAGATAAAGGTGTAAAAATTTGCCACGAATCAATAAAAATGGTGAATACTCTACAACTGTTTAGCAATAATGAAAGTATAGAGGAAGTAGCGACTAATGAGATCAAGTAAATTTTCCTTGAATTATATTTCTTTTGTGATATAATTGTTTTGTATAAAGCTTAGAAGCTTATCAAATTATGTAATGTTTGAATAAACTGAATTTATGTTCAATTGCACCATTGAAAGTTCAGCCCTACCAACTGTTTTCTTAATCATAAAGGGTACATGAAAGAGTTAATGACATGATGTTTCCTGCCACATTTTGGCATTGACATCAGTTGATTTCACATTAATAACATCAAATGTTTTTTTTACCAGGATGCTTAAGCAGATGTACAACAACCTTGATATGATTCTATTTCAGATACATGTTACTATCAGCATTGTTAGGTTATTTATCATTAAAGTCTATTAAAGAAAGTAGAATTCATTTATTAAATAGATCAAAGGTGAGAAAATAAATATATTTAAAAATTGTACGTGAATAAAACCAAAACCTAATTTTTCTAACATCTTCCGAATTAACATCAATATTTTTGATAATATATTCAAAATAATTGATTGAAAATAAAAGTATTCAGCATTCGGTATTTCAAAATATTTGCTTCTAAGATTGTTTTTATCATATTTCCAACATCAGAAAAATAATATTTGCTTCCTTATTTCTGTCTTTGAAATGAATGTTTGATAACATATGATATATTCTACTTTATAAGGGTTATTATACAGATTATTTAAAGTTATATAAATCATATGGAGTCCAGGGCGTTGATGTGGCAGATCTTGTGGAAGAAGAAGAAGAAGAAAAAGCAGAAGATGAACAGAAACAGGTGGCCTTAGCCGGTTCTAATAGGTAAGTTTAACTTCTGACGTTGAATGACAGTCTTATACTAAAGCAATCCGTCCCTCCATCATATATTTCCATGTCTTTTATACACAAAAGTTTATCGATGTTTGTACAGTCCATATCAAAACATTTCTTGAATGTCAATGTGCTATGGGCATCCAATATATGATTGATGAATACAGCCAGCTGATATAAGAAAAAAACCTACAGGTATGTTGAGACCAAGAAAAAGAATCTATTATTTTTGTTTATTGTAGAGGTCCAGATCTACGTGCTATGTCAGTCCAACGTGCTTCTAAAATAGAGAGATTTAAACAGAAACGTGATATAGAAAATAAATTAAAAGATTTACGAACTAAAGTGGAAGATGAACATGTCGATGATGAAGTAAAAGTAAGATTTTTTTCAAATTGTCATTGTCAAATTTGACTCATTTACTGTGCATTTCCAACAGTTTGAAATTTTGTTATTTTTTTTCTCCAAATTCTATGTATATTTTTGTTTTGTTACAGAGAGAATATTATCTAACAATGCTAAATGAATGGGCAGCTATTAGTATAGAAGAAATAGACAGTATCAGTTGTAAGTTTTATAAGAATAACAATAGCTATTGCTTCCACCCCTCCCAAGTAGACAGGAGCAAGTGACAAAGATCTATGTTCAAGTAAGAGCAGTTGTAAAGTTTCGAAAATGATTTTCATGTGTCCTGTTACAGAGAGTTTGTTTCCAATTATATCTGATATTTGGTGCTGTAAACAATATCTGATTATTGATATTAGTCAAGTTGGACAGATATTTTTCTTATTTGTAGTTGAAATACCAGTTTTAGAACACAGTAATAAAATGAAAGAAAAAGAAGGAAAGGGTCCAAAGTTGCCACAACTAAAGCCTAAAACAAAGGTAGGAACATATATACCTTTGTCTAGTTAGGGGTAACCTATCCTACTCCACTCTTCATTCTTCAGATATGATAGCTCATGAAAATGTGTGATGATAAAGTAACACTTAACAGATCAAATCTTTCACAATCCATTGTATTTTTCACTTTCAATTCTATGAAATTGTCAATGTGATGGGTAGCTTTGGCATTTTTTTAGCAGTTAAGTCAGATGCAGAAGTTAGTTTATACACTTTTCTTTTCACAATTTTGATTTTGTTTCCAGCCCCTCCGTCCCTTCATCCTGACCAAAGATTTATTACAGAAGCAAGTATTTGGGGCTGGATATCCAAGTATTGCTACAATGACAATAGATGAGTTTTACCATCAGAAAGTAGCTGAGGGTGATTTTCATGCTCCAGGCAGTGGGGCACAAGGGTTAGTTGTTTATTTATTACTAAATTACTACTAAATATTGGTGATATGCCATTTAATCATTAATCAATTCTTGTCATGTTCAACTGTTAATCACACTGGGTCCAAAGCTTCAATTATTAAAATTTACAGAACATGATTACAACATCAAGATTTGATAAAAATGATTGTTTTTTTCATCTGCATTTGTCATCCAAGATATGACAAAAATTCTGAGGATATTTGGATGTTCAGCATTTGACATTGATTTAAATTGCCACAATTTGCTATTCTATTATATTCTTTTAGTAAATGATGTTCTATTCTGAGAGTTTTATTACAAAGGCACTATTCTAATTGACTAACCAATGAATCTTGAATGTTTTATTTGTAGACATAGTTTACAAGATTTTGCTAGGGATCCTGATAAAGATAAAGAAGAATTAGAGAAGGAGGCTTCAGAGAAAGAAAATCTGTTTGAATCTGACGATCCTGTCAATTTAATACGTGAGAGAAATTGGGATGAATGGAAAGATGGTAAGTATGGTTAACTATGTGCCACGTTCATTGAATGGAAAATATTTGTCAAGATACTTGCTTTCCTAAGCCATGATCATGCTTATTGGTACCATTTTTGTTAACATTATGATGATATCATTATCTTTTTTATGACTCTTTCATTCAAGTGAAAAATATATTGATGAATTTTATTTCAGATCACAGAAGAGGGTGGGGAAACAGAAAAAATAGAAGTTGATGTTACAAATATTGTCTTTATAATGCAAATACTCTCATTCCATACTGGCTGACCATAAATTGAAACATCCAAACTTGAGTGACAGAAAAGGAACATCCACATTTATATTGGAAATATTTCAGGATTATTTAATTATTCAATCTATTCTTATCGATTATTTTCTTCTGAAGGCTGGTCCCTCTGAAGTTTTGTATCACATATGGAAAGAAATGTGAGAAAACAACCAGGAATATAATTATGTATTGCTGTAAAATCTGTTATAAAAGTATAGTGCTATACATATATATGTTGTGAAAAAAGATCAAAGTTGACAACATGATTGACAGAGTGGTATTAAGTGTCAGTGAAGGGATGGGTGAAAAAAGGCTTATTACAATTGTATAGCTAATGAAATGGATCACATTATGTGACTTATGTATGTTATTTGATATCTTGTCATTTTAATAAAGTAAAAGAAACTGTCTAGTTTTAAATATGATTTATTTCCAAAACTTATGTAAGAGGAAATGGTTTTTCTTTCTAAATACCTGATTTACTACAAACATCATATTTGATAAGTTTCTCTCTCTAAATACCTGATTTACTACAAACATCATATTTGATAAGTTTCTCTCTCTAAATACCTGATTTACTACAAACATCATATTTGATAAGTTTTTCTCTCTAAATACCTGATTTACTACAAACATCATATTTGATAAGTTTCTCTTTCTAAATACCTGATTTACTACAAACATCATATTTGATAAGTTTCTCTTTCTAAATACCTGATTTACTACAAACATCATATTTTATAAGTTTCTCTTTCTAAATACCTTATACTACAAACATCATATTTGATAAGTTTTTCTTTCTAAATACCTGATTTACTACAAACATGATAAGTTTCTCTTTCTAACTGTCTCACTTACTACAGACATCACATTTTATAAGTTTCTATTTCTTAATGATTTAATACAAACATCAGATTTTAGAGGATGGTCTTTATAGATTATTTACTACACACATCTTATTTGACGGTTTCTTTTTCTAAACATCTGATTACTAAAAACGTCATATTTAATCCAATTAGACATTTGTTTACTACAAACATCCAAATAGCCAGTTTTCTGAACTAATACTAAATAATAACAAACATCCAATCAGCAGTTTGGTATGTAACGGTAACTATGGGCTCAAGAATTGATCGTGGTTTGTTTCAAACTAAACACAAATTATCTCCCTTCAACCACTTGACCGTTAGATGTCGTGTTCTGTTATGAGGTGAATGGCTATGAGGAAACCAAAACGAATGTAGCTCTTAAGAAAATCATGCACGTTTGGTAAATATAATTTATTATGGATATTTGGAATATGGGGTTTCGATTTGGACGGTTTTGCTTTGAATTCTAGGGTGTTTTCACTGAGTTTCGTCTGCTTGTGATTTTGTAGATATAGAAGACGTCAGCTTGGTGATGATTCATACTTGCTAAGAATAGACATTTCAGTCTGCTCAATTTTAATATTATAATTTCTCTCAATTTTTACTTTTTGAACAAATTTAAATGAAACATGAAAAATATTTTGGTGAATTTTAGGTTGTACATGATTATTAAGGCGTTTGCTTTAAATTTGGAGAAAATAACACCAATTTAACACATCAAATGACCCAAGCTTATATAAGAATGAAATAAAAGAAAAGGTTTTTGTCCTGACACCTGTAGCTTCTAGGAATGTATATTCTTTTACATTGGTACATGTATCATGCATGTTCTAAGATAGCTATCAAACACATTTCAACTCTACCCCATTAGCTGCATTGGCTTCAGTCTGGACTTTGATGATAGTATTTAGATCTACTGTGATTCAAAAAGCCTAGATGTCCATTCCATTCAAGCTTATAGCTATAAGCATAAGCCTACTTAACACAAAGTCCTGTTTATTTCTTTTCCAAATTAATATTATGCCCTTTAATGAAAAAAAGTTTATCCATGCAAATAAACTAGTACAGAAAGTTATTAACTATTCAGATAAATCAAACTTAAGAGGGTGAATTGAAGGATAGTACAGTGTTTGCAAATATAATTATGTCAAAAAAATATTTTCTATTTTGAAAACTGTCTTTTGTTTGTTATTTTTTTTCAGACGTGCGGAGAATGACAAGAAGAGATGGAGACGATGAGTTTTGAAAATGAGGCTCATATGGGACGAGTTTTAGTTGAGATGAAATCAATGTTTGATGAACGACAGTTAATTGATGTAGATATTTGTGTTCAAGAACTGTGTATACCATGTCACCGCAACGTACTTGCCGCAACTAGTCCCTACTTTAAAGCTATGTTTACATCGAGTATGCATGAAAGTTCCCAACGTCACATTATCCTGCATGAAGTTGATGCGAAATCGGTTGCTCAAATTATAGATTATGCTTACACAGGTGAACTTAAAATTACACGAGCAAATGCTCAAAATCTGCTTGCAGCTGCATCACTCTTCCAAATAATCCCCGTGCAGCAGGCATCGGCCAAATTTATGGAACAGCAGTTGGATGCCATGAATTGTGTTGGGATTCAAACTTTCGCTCAAATTCATAATTGTGAGGAATTAAAACAGAAAGCCCGTGAATATACAGAAAAACATTTTCCTGATGTCGCGAAACATGAAGAGTTTAAAGCTTTACCTTTAGAACGAGTCCTGGAAATTGTTTCCTCGGATGAATTGAATGTAGAAAAAGAGGACATAGTTTATGAGTCGATAATTACATGGATTAATCATGATTTAAAGATGCGACGGAAGTATATTGGACAGTTATTACCCCACGTGCGTTTAGTATTATTAAGTATGAAATACATCAAAGATCATATAACACAGAATTATATTATTCAGCAGTGTGATCGCTGTCGAGCCTTACTCAATTCTTTACGAGAGTTTGAAGAAAATCCTGAATTGTATACCGGTGAATTTAACTTTGCCTTGTCATTAAGATCGGGAATGATCCAGCCAGAATACTGCATTTTATTAGTCGGAGGACTCGATCAAAATAAACCTTCCATTAATTGTTATAATCCATTAACGCGGGAGGCGTATATCATGGAAACATTCCCAGAAACACGAGAACGTAGTGGATATTATTGTGTTGAAGATCCTGCCGTCATAGTCACAGAAGATAATAATATTTTTACAGCTGGTGGAAATTATATTTATCATGAAAATTACGGAGAGACAGCATCGGATGAGGATTCATTTGATGATTTTGAGGAAGAAACAGTCAGAAAAGATTTCTATCAATATGATAATGATCATAACAAATGGATCCTGAAAGCACCAATGTTGTTTCCCAAATCCAATTTTTCTCTTGCCTTTCACGAAGGAAAAATCTACAGCTTAGGAGGACTGACTGTGAATCAACATCCAACTGAAATTGTGGAGTGTTATGATATTGCTAAAAATAGATGGAACTATGTTGGAATGATGCCTACAACTTTAGTGGATCTCTCAACTTGTGTTTATCGTAGTGAAATATATTTATTAGGAGGGAGAACGGGGGTAGGGGCACATAATACCGTCATGAAATTTGACCCGAAAAAGGCTGAATGGTGTTCATTAGCTGGGATGTTGACCCCTCGTTTCAATTTCGGTGCTTGTGTAGTGGATGACGAACTTCTGGTTGCTGGGGGCCAAATTTACGCTCAGTTAACACATACTATAAATAGAGAGGCGTTACGTTCGGTAGAAATTTATAACATTGCTGATAACCAGTGGCGTCAAGGCCCAGACTTGCCAGAAGAGATCTATAATGTAGGCTTGATGATTATGAATGGAACTATTTATGCATGTGGAACTACAGAATATCAACGATCGCCATTCCGTATTTATCGTTATAATATTGTCTGTCGATTGGATCGAGTGAAAAATATTTGGGAACAAATTGAATCAGATTTATGTGACATTCGTAGTTATGGATGCGTCGCAGCAAAACTTCACACTCGACGTCTCTCACAAGTGTTCCGCCCAGACGTTGACACTTGACCTTTAACCTCTCTATGCATTCCACTTTTTGCATCTCATTAATCACAGCTATTTCATTGCCACTTTTCCAATTCTGCCAAAAATATTTATTTATAGATCAAAAGTCATGTGATCATATTCAAATTTTGTCAGAGGAACGTCAAAGATCTCAGTTTTAAAGAACAAAATATATTTCTTAACATTAGATCTCCGTATAATACAGTGCTGTTTAGTGCACTTTCATTCATATTAGTCTGCATGAGTGCAGTCACAATTGGTTAAAAACATGGTTTCAAACCTGGAAATGATAAAAAACATTCTCATGCATCTTTATGCATTTATTAAGTATTTTTAAAGATTCATTAATCAAAAAATTCTTGACATGTTATCATTTGCAAATTCATGATGTAAAAGTACTTAAAGTCATCACCATAATTCATTGATGAATCCATGTTTTGGTGCAAAGAATTCCAGTTTCCTCTGGCATAAATTGATTTTTTTCAGATAATATTTAAAAATGTTTTGAAAATATATTGTAGATTTATGGAAGATGTTTTTTTTTTACAAAATGTACATTCATCAAAGCCAATGTTACTTATGAAATGAAGATATGTAATGGGCTGAATAATTTTCCTTTGATGAGCTGCTTCAAGGCCTGATAAAATCGTAAAAACTCTTGATGGGAAACTTGTCTCAAAAAGGTGTTTTTTAACAAAGGTTTCTGCAAGACACAAGATAGCTATGTTGAAGAGTTGAAGTTTGAAGAGTTGGCAAATTAGAAACAGACTTGACAGCCTGGTGATCATTTAAGAAAGCACTTGTCCAATAAACTGAATCAGTCAAAGTGACTTTGAGGAGACAATAACATAACAAAACATCATCTTAAATTTATATTAAAGATGAACTACTGAACGCAAGGCAGGTGTCTTGCATTGGTCCCTATCACACTTCTTTGGACCATTTTTTAATGTTTTTATTTAAATTGTAGAATGCCAACAATACCAAAATATGTTTTCCATTTTTTTTCTTCAACAATAAGCAATGTGATTTGTTAAAGCTATAAAAAGGACGGAAGTGAAAATGTTATTTGTGCCATATTGTTATTTCAAGAAGTGAAAATAATGTACTTCTAGGAGTTACTGACTCTGCTCGAGATTCATCCATTTGATTGAAATACAGCTCTGGAATGTGACAAGATGCTCATAGAAAATGACAAATATTTCGAGCTGTATTTTAATTAGATGGGTATAGTCCAGTCTAGATATTGGTGCACATCCAGGGATAATTTAAAACATAAACAAGATCGTTCTATTTTTTTTTTTTTTAATTCCGTTAGTGTTTGATGCTGAAGTGAACTGCTTGTTTTTATGTTTGGAATCATCTCTGGAAGTGCACTCTAGATTTTTTTGTTTGACTGCACTTAATGTGATGGACAGGATATTTCCAATATTTGTTATAAATGTACTAATGGAAGTCGCACCTAATATTTGATTGACAATTTTGAGAGGTTTTAAGTTCATAAGATAAGGACTGATAAGACCTCTAATTATTAATAAATAAATTGTTTATTTGTTTACCTCCTTATTTTTGTTTTTGTTGACAATTGTAAGATATTTATTACTGTTTTTGTTTATTATTTATTTCTATAATTATACCAATTGTACCATATATCATTAAATGATATCAATATACTTGTTTTTCTTGTTTTATATATATCCTGTGGCACTCTTAGACCCTGCAATGGTTCAGGAAGACATAAGAGAGGACTTGTCAAGATCAGAATATCTCATTCAGCAAGGAGAAAATGACATACATACCCAACCTCAATCCACGTGTGGAAGAACTGCAAGAGAAAACATGAAATTACCTATTTCCTATCCTAGATCATTGAAAATACAATTGTTTCACTCAAATACACTGTACCCATGGAGAAAAGTAAGCATCTGACTTCATTAATGTTTTGATAAAAAAGTGAACTATCTTGAAACCTTTTTTAGGCGCCTTATCGATTGATTGCCATGATACAGGTAATGATAATTCACCTTGCAGCATGCTTGGATTTCTATAAACACATTTCCAGATCATAAATTTTCATTTCTATTTCCCAAATAGAAAACCAAAATCACATAGGCCTTCTTTGATAATTTTACTTTAAAGGAAAAGAAAGATGCCAATATCTTTAACATGACATCATTATCATAATCAAAAGATAATTTATGTTTTTTCTGCATAAAAGAGTCTCTTTAAATGAAGGTGTGGCTAATGCAATGATTGACACTGACTGAAGTGACAGCGCTACGCATGTCTCTGAGATCACAACTTCCGGTTTGAAAATAACAAAAGCAGAAGACGAATCACATCAAACTGGAAAGATTCCTGAACTATTACTGTCCTGGTTTCCTCCGTTTCCTCAAGATTGGTTCAACCATGTCTAAAGTGAGACGAGCAACTCATTCCGGGAGTTGGTACAGCGATTCCGGTAGATATATAGATTTTAGTTAGGGCCTATTTAAAAAATAAAAGGGGGGGGGGGGGGGTATTATTATTAATAAATAAAGTTATTTTTACTCATCAACAGGAATATCATTCTGGCACTGTCTATGCACACGTCCATGGTTACATTGTTTTAGCATTTTTAAGTGGTACCGGTATATGCAATGAACAAAGATGTTTGATGATGCATTTCATAGTGAGGTGCCATTATTGGCATTTGGTATGAGGGTAAAACGAAACGAAAATGATAAAAATACAGTAATGGTTTTGCAGTGAAATGATTTAGTAGACATTAATATGATATAGAAAGCTATCTGGTCAACCTTTTCTATGTTTATTATTATAGGTGATGAGCTTAGGAACCAATTAGACGGCTGGTTATCAAAGCCTAAATCTCTCAGTCACCCAGCCAAGGCTATCATAGCACCGTAAGTATATAGTGTCAAGTAGTAAGTCTTAGTTCCTAATTTTGATTTTACAATATTTAAGCAAGATAGTTGAAAATTCAAGCTCTATAAGCTTAGAATTGATATTTATTTTTTGTTTGTTGAATATTAAATGAGTTTGGCAAGGTTCCAACAATTGTTTTTTTACACTGATAATATCTTGTTAAATAAGCCCAGGATGACATCTGCACTGAAATGGCTATTTATACATATACAATAGGTTAAAGTTTAACAGGTCAACACAAGGGCACATTATTTAAAGTGGCAAGTCTAGGTAAATACTTAACCAAAATTCTAGTAAACAAGTAAAACATGAATCAGGTTTTCAATCTGAAGAGCACTATGATTAGCTAGTGGTAAAGCAGAAATTAACTATACATACTGGTATATATCTTTTCATGTCTCTAGCCCTTGTGTTATCTTATATAGGGTGATATGATTTTGTTGTAGGCATGCTGGATATTACTATTGTGGGGCATGTGGTGCTCATGCTTACAAGCACATTGATCCTTCTAGAGTGTAAGTTTCTTCTCTTTTTTGTTCTTGATGCACATTTTTTAGTCTGATAATTTTTACAAAATCTCTTTTAAAATTACTAATAGAAAATAAATCAATATCATGATGTATGTTATTGAATAGGAGCCAAAATCTTTCACAATAACTTGTGTTTAAATTGTCTGACAAATTTTTTTAGAAACTTTTTGATTTAATTACCATGTGAATCAAAAGAATTTGATAGTAAACGTTTACATTCTGAGATTTTCTTTTGAAATTTATATTTTGAAAGTAAATTATGTTATTTTAGGAAACGTGTGTTTATATTGGGTCCTTCCCATCATGTAAGATTATCTGGTTGTGCTTTATCCAGTGCTGAAAAGTATGTAACACCTTTATATGATCTACATATAGACAGTAAAGGTAAGATTATTGTGGACTTTACTATATCAGTTTCATCTGGGTGCAAAAACTGTACTATTTCATTTCTCATAGAATGTTTTGCCCATATTATAAAGCTCTACATTTACTGTTCAATAGGTCTGACAGAGATGCACCAAAGTACTACAAAAGTGTGAAAACCAGGGTTTTAAAAGTTTTTGTGCTTTATTTTATTGATTGATTGATATTTTAAGCATGTAAATATTTTATGTTTATAGTTTATGAGGAGTTATATTCTACCAATTCATTTGAAGTGATGTCTATGAATATCGATGAAGATGAACATAGTATTGAAATGCATTTGCCTTACATAGCCAAGGTTATGGAAAGGTAACAAAAAACTTAATCCTTTTCTCCTTATAATCTTTATTGAGTGGTACTCTAAACATATGACAATTATTGATAAATTTATATAAGGAAGGGATAGCAGAAAATTTCTACGGAGCCACTTAAGCGCAATTTTCTACACTTTTTATTATTATTTCGTTTAAACGAAATAATTATTTTGTTTAAACGAAATAATATCACATATTTCGTTTAAACGAAATAATAAATAAATATGTTTACAATTGCGCCTTAGGGGCTCCGTAAATTTCAGAGCCATTTTTTCTTTTTTTTTTAAACATCAGATTTTGAAATCTTTGAAGATATGTCGCATATCGCATACAAAATTTGTGGCTTATGTAAATTCTGGGGACTCAGACATTGCTCACACTTTGTTAATAACACAAAACTCAATATCATGTTTGTCTCCTTATGCATTTTGTATATATACTGTTTCAGTCATAAAGATGAGTTTACCATTATACCAATATTAGTGGGGTCCTTATCACCAGAGAAAGAGGAGCATTATGGTAAAATATTGAGTCGTTATCTGGCTGATCCTGAATCTCTATTCATAATATCATCAGATTTCTGTCATTGGGGTAAGTCAGTGGTAGAAAAGTCAATAGCATGATCTCTAATCAAATATAAAAAAGAATGGAATTGCATGAGCTTTCACTGGTGATACCTTCAACAATAATTGATATCTTTGGGCTTACCTACAAAAAATTAAAGATTGGTTAGAAATTTGTCACGGAGATTTCATATTTTGTGTATTAAGGTTTGAAGCAGGCAACAATGTGACCATGAAAGTTTAATGCCTTCCTGTAAGGGAGATTCAAAACTATTTAGTGGCCAGCTATTGACAACTCAATGTTTATGATGCCATTTGTAATGATATTCAGGTCGAAGGTTCCGGTATACAGATTATGATCAATCTCAAGGTGAAGTCTGGCAGTCTATAGAAGCTCTTGATAAAAAGGTACAGTTTTTTCTGTTATATATAAGGAGTTATAGTATGGTTAATCATCACTTGAGACTGTTACCTGTATGTGTAATGAAACATTGTGTTTAAATAATAAATAGAAGTCTATATTCATAAAACTGTTGTTTCTTGAGGTAGAGTTGTTCACTATTTGTGGTTAAAATCTTGATAGATCTAATTGGTATGCTGAAGGAAACAATCTAGAGTTGTTTTCTTCCAGAAATGTTGTATCTTTTATTTTCACCTTAAATGCTGATACGAATCTAGGTTAGGCATAATAATGAACCTTGTTGTTCCGAATTTTATAAAAGATTTTTGAATTTTAGGCTATGGATATCATAGAAAAAATGGATCCACAAGGATTTACCCAATATTTAGTTGACTATCAAAACACTATATGTGGTCGCCATCCAATTGGTGTACTCTTACATGTAAGTTTTATATATGTTTTAATCAAACTTAGTAATTCAGTCTAAGCTTTATCTAGCTGCAAATCATTCTCATCCTTTTCTTCAATAGGAAAATAATGTACCAGAATATTTCCTTGTGCTTCAAAAGTTGAATGCCTCTTATTGATTTGTGAATGACAGCAGTCAATTGTGGAAATTGGCGGTTGAGAGAAAGATATGTTGTATACCCTGGCCCCGGAAAATGAGGAAATCATAGATTTTAACAAGTGTCCTTTTTTTGTAACATGTTATCATTTGCCAGTAATTATCGATTGATTGTTTCAAAGCAGTTAATTTTTGTATATTATCTTTTTTAGTGTATAGACAGTATACGTAAAAATGGCAATGGATTAAAGTTGTCTTTCAAATTCACCAAATATTCTCAATCAAGTAAATGTAAATCAACACAGGATTCTTCTGTTAGCTATGCAGCCGGTTGTCTGATGTTTCACTGATAATTACCTCCCTTTTATTATTGGAGGTTATCTCCCTTTAATAACTCTTCAGGTATTTAACTAACCATCCATTTGGATTTTGGAAGGCTCATCTAAAGAATTGTAATTTCATGGAATGGAATGTTCAGAAATTTGGACAGATTTCGATTATGATATAAAGAAACTTGATATTTATCTCATCAAACATATGACTTTTGACTGTTTGGTTTTGGCATAAGGCTTAAAAGGGGTTCTCTTTTGTAAGAGTAAGAGCAATATGAGTCTACACTCTATACATGTTTCTGATAAAGAATTACCAAGTGATAAAATAAGAACCTTTCACAGGTGTCTACAATGAATTTGAGAATGATAGAAATTCATGACCCTCTTGCAACTTTAGGCCTTTATTATATTTACTAATGATTGCAAAATTTGGTATGAAATGAAATTTTAGATGTTGTTGAACGTATGGATGTGTTTTTTAATTGAATAGCTTATGATTGTATTTTTGTTTGAGATTTTTTTGTTATTTCGGAGATGTAATTAGACTGATGCATTTTATCGGAACAACAATCGCTGGTAAAAGTCTTATAAAATCTTTTGACTTTATTCTCTCCTATTCACCATGTATATCGTGATAGGCAAACTATACATACATTAGGGCATTGATTTGTTGTTTTTTTTCTTGTGACTTAGGCCAGTGCTTCTATAATACCCAATACAAGATCTTTATGAAGTGGTTTATTAATATATTAAATTGTTATCTAAAGCCTGCCACAGATGAGAGGAACTAGCTGAGCTACCTGTCTCAAAAGGTTGGGAGCTGAGCAGCTTCCCCATCGTGAACTGAATTATTAGTGAGATATTTGCCTCGAGACTCTGTGAGGAAAATATCTTGATCAGTTACATGTCACGGATGCAGTCTGTTGACGTACAGAATTTCCTGAAGGTTATCCAGTGAGACAATAGCACAGATGAGAGCTCTCATCTGCTGTGAAAAAATTAGTGGGAATATTGCTCAGCTGACAGCCTCTCTTGGCAGGCAGCTCAGCTTGTTCCTCTTGTCTGCGGTAGGCTTAATAGGTTCAAGACTAGTGAGTTTAAGAAGATTGATAATTTTATTGTAGATTATAATGTAATAAACTTATAAACCACTCTGTCTCTATGTACCTGAGAATGACAAGAGAAACATGTTGAAAGTTGTATAAAATTTAACCAGTGATTGTTGTCCCACAAAGCTATGTCTATACTTGTATAATATCGTATTCACTATTACTTAAACTGCATTTAAAGACTTTATTTACAAATCATAGCTTGAAAAACAAAAACTTTTAAATCTCTCAGGGCCATATACTATTGATACTATGAGCCCTGTCTGAAGCTAAGTTACTTGTGAAGCAGGGTCTAAGGCTAGTTGAGAACATGGGTGGTCTCTTTTACTTAGGGGTTACACAATAATCAGTGGAAAAACTTTTGTTGGAAGGAAAGGGAGGACAAATTCCAAACTTCCAACTTAATCTTCGTCTATAAATTTTAGCATTTACCTTCATTACAGAATTTTGTATGTTTTGTATTTTGTTTTGTATATTAATTTCCATCTGAAATAGAAAAATCTGGTCTGTTTTGGGAAATATTTTTGGTCTGAATTTTTAGATATTATGACCTATATATGTTACTTCTAGGAAGTGGGCAGTGATATGGTCAATTGCAACCTTGGGCCAGAAGATATAATCCAGATTTTAACAAATTTAGTCATCTAATTGAATGGTAAATCTACCCTTAAAATCGATTTAGTGATTGACCACACCAATATCTGGAACATTAGGTTTAGTTTTTGCCCCAGATCTGCTTGACTGACCTTTTTTTATGATTTTGGATTTTCAGAGAATGATGATGTAAATATAAATATTATGTGTAAAAACTGTATTCATTTCTTTATGTTGTTTCTTTGCTTTGATTCCCAACCATGTTAGTATCTCATGGGGGGCACCAATGAGGACCTCAATGGGTACAAGGAGCATCCACAAAAAACCTTACATGGAATTTGATTTATTACTTTTACTTTGTCTATGATGGACAAGTGGATATGAGAGTCGATCTCCACCAATTACAAAGCAATGAAATTTATGTCTAATACTCTTGTGACTGATTCACAAAAACTAAACTTGTGAAGATGTCATCTAAACCTTTTTTTTTGTGAAATCCACTGTTGTTTGTAGTTATGGTATTGTTTTAATTAGAGTTACCTTTCTTATTTTGGAACCGGACTCATAACGTCTTGATTCGAGACTATATGGCCTTGATGTTCTAATCTAAAGCCAAAAATACCGAGCACGCTAAAATGAAAGAGTCTCCTGACCAAAAGAAGAAAGATTTAGAGCCTATAAATGGTTAGAATCGTTTATCATGTATTATTTTATCATTTGCATTAATCCTGCTTTTTATTATTGAACAACCGTGTAATGATTTGGATTTAAATGTCGTTTTGTCCCAATGACGTCTATAATCCCCACAGCCAGATAAATCTAAAAATATCTACTTCCGGTTTGACATGCGCCTTGTCATTTAAAGTTAAAAATAGATGCCCTTATTATTTTATTTTAGAGCTATTAGTTTTATATTGTTCTATTTCAGTCTATCTTACACTGAGAGATATGGCTAAAGATAAAGTTAGAGATATGTAAAGAAAGATATACATAGATAGAAAGGCCCCCTCCCCCCGGATAGACAGAAAGCAAGTTTAGAATGCCCCATGTGCGGCACATTACAGATCGATTTGCATCATTCCAATTGTAAGTCAAACATCTTTGGTTCTTGCAATTCCACAAAATCTGAGGGTTTGATGCGTCACTTGCAACCATACATAACTGGTGGTGGCTATGATGTTGGTGATACTTTAGGTATTTCTCTCTTACAACACTGTTTTCTGAATTGAAATTTGAAAATTATTTTCATATCAACTACAAATTACTACTGAGAGTCTTGAATTGTCCACGAGTTGATGAAAATCTTTACCACTGGAAAAGTTAGTATCATTTTGTAAACATGAGAGAAATATTTCAATTCAAAGCTCAATGTAGTCAGAGAGCAGAGAGTAGCTGATTTTGCTATTGAAACACCCAACTATGCACCAACTGGTGTTAACCTTTGAACAGCTCGATGAAATAGACGAAGGGAAAACCCAGAGAATATCGTGCATATCTGATATTTGCCCCTAAACCATACATGTTCAAGTGTAAAAAGTCCGACTCTATAATAAATATTAAAACAACACGGTTGCTTCGTGTAAAAGATAAATTGGTTTTGATCAAGAGTTTTAACAGAGGTAAATATTTAACAAAACCATAAATAAATATAAAACCTCAATAAATTTATAAATATGCTATTTGTAAACAAATTAAAACAATATTTTTAGATCTTATGACCATACAGCCAATAACTAAATAAATCGCTCTCCTTCCAAACGTTTCTACTTTCTAGCTTCGTATGCTGTGATTTCGCTCATAGGCGTTGGAGACGGGAGGGCAGTAGTGGCCGGGGGGTGGGGGTGGGGATGGAGTGTGTAGTAGTAGCTAATATTATCTTTTCGGGCAACAACTCGAAATCAAAGAAAAATACACGTACAGTTCGCAGGAAATTTTTGGCAAACCACTCTGCCAACAAGACACTCTTAGATAAACTCCACTGCCACCTTGTTGGGTTTAGGTAAGGAAGATATACGACCTATATGACGGAATAAGGACGGAAATATCATATAAGCGGGTAATTTAGAATTTTGTATAAAATTTGCCAAAGCGAAATCAGCTTTCATTTTCTGTCCAAAGGCATTGTGGTACATGCTATCGCTCAGCTCGTCTAAAATAGAAGAATGGTATAACATGGCGACAGTACAACAGTTTGGAGAAGGCAACACTTGGTATGTAAATGGTAAAAATCGACGGAATTCTAAAATATTTTGACGTCCAATAGCACAACAAGAACAAACAGTAAAAATAAATCCTATGGTAAAAAATAGATATGTATTAAACTTTTTGAAAGTTTTGAATAATCCGAGTATCAAATAACAAAGGAATGTAAAAATAGTGGAACCTACGATACCAGTCGAACACAATTCAATCAAACGATCGAGTTCGTACGCATATCCAGTCCATTTCTCGGGATAATAGAGTTTTAATGCTGCCCATGGCATATTAATGTTGTGTTGAAATCGATATTTGAAGATATGATCTAAAATAAGTAAAAAGTCGTCTCTAGCTACAGCATCATCTTCAAGAACCAGGACATATTTAGATTTCCTCGTTTTAGCCACTTTTAAACAAAAACTATAATCAATAGTCTCTTTAATATAACCTTTGTCTTTTGAAACATAATTTCGGAATGTCAGATTTGTATCAGGAATTGGGACGTCTGCAACGTGAGGTCGAGATCCTCCAAAACGTTCCACGTAAGGGAGGTAACTGCGGAGGTAATTTGCTTCTTCGAAATTACTTGGATCCTTATCCACGTTACAAACAAACGTAAAAATGGAGGTCCTTTCTTGGTCCTTGACAATTTTATCCATCTTCCACGTTGATTGCAGTAGGTATCCGAGATCTTTTTGTTTCTTCTTTCTACTCATTGTTATTATAGCCACCACCATGTCAAGGTCGTTGCCATGGTTATATAAAACGTTGTCATACCAACGAAGTGAAGATTTTGGGTCAAGAGATTTGAAATATTCCTTAGCTCCATTCACCCTTAAAAAATTTTGCTCTGTGGCTAATTTATCAAAGTTTGTTTTTCGATTCCTGATTTTGAAATAGGCACTCCATGGGACGTTCCAGTAGAAAAGTGGAAGAATGACACAAAATTGCACTATGAAGAGGATCACAAGCTTCGTAATATCCTTTGAAAATCGTTTTGTCAGCAGAAACATTAGTCGGATGGCTTTTTTGGGTGTCCGTCTTGGTTTCAGTATCTCGTTACGATTAACATCCATGTTGTCATAGCCTATATCTATAGCCTAAAGTTTGTCACGAACCACTATATCCACCCAGTTTAAAAATCATATCGAGAGGTTTGATCATATCCTACGGTCGTTCATGACCTGGCCTCTGACCTACATAGATTAGACTAAATATCAACGCCAACAATATCGTTATCTATAGGCCCTTATATTTTTTTTATCAATCTGAAATAGAAAAGGGTTTGATGTTATAATAATCTTATGAAAAGTTTGAAGTGCAAATTTGTTATTTATGATAATCAAAAATTAAAAGTGATTATTTGTATAAATTATAAAATTCTAATTTTAAAACAGCATCCATTTTTACCTAGAGATATCGTCACCTCAGGTCTATAATGTTCTATCTCCGTTCTTGTTGTTTTTGAGAAAATCAAATTTGAAACTTTGACAACCATATAAATGCCATATTAAGTGAAGGAATATATCAAAATTAACATGTTGTGAAAAATCATTCATTTATTTTTACTTTAATAAAACTCATTTTGACAAAAAGTTTACAAATTTCTCATATTTTTGTTTTACAAAAACGGACAATGGAGGAATTGGGATATAGAACGATATGGAATTAGTAGCAGAAGACAATCTCATATTGGCACCCGTTCCATATCCCACATTTCCTAGCTTTAAACATAGATCGATTAATTAATCGAAAAAAATCGAAAAAAATCGAAAAAAAATGGAATTAAAATAAAATGAATAATATTTGAAGACATTTTCTTATATGTTGTAATAAAAGCTGACCATTGTATATATGGAAACCAAATTTTGATAATATGTCGACCGACGATATTCCAGTAATTTTAATATGTAACAATCAATAAAAATCAATATAATCGGAGGGAATTTGACTGTTTTACCTTTTTGATGCTTTTGACATTTAAATAAAGGCTTTATCGTGTAATATAATTCATATTAATTATTAGCGTCTATGCCAAGAGTAAGTCTGTAGTAATCACAGTCAGAAAGTGGCATAAATGGCATCATACTTTTCAAATCGTTGATTTTTTCTTTCGAGTATGTCATGTTTTTTTCCAATACCGAGGGATTCGGAATGGTTTTTTTCTAGAAATAGTATGGGTTTTCAATTCTTCAGAAAAACAAAATTTGTAATCACACTGCATATGTCGGGAAGAATCAATTCTCAAATAATTTAGTTTACAAAATGGAATATTAAATTTAAATCGTTGTGAAACCTTTTGGAAATCAAAGAATTGAGATTTTTTCATTTGTATAACTTTCATGTGTTTTGGTCGAACTTTAAGTAAGACTCTGACAAGGGATATTGGGCTATAAATTTCGGCTACTCCTAGTGCTTTTTCAATGTGACTGTGAACATTGTCTACTTCTTGTATAGAAGAATGTCCAGGTGTTCCAAATTTATGTTCAATGATGAGACCTGAATGTCTCTCGACAAATTTTGTCAGTGCTGTTACCATTATGGAATTTTTGTTTTGAGGAACACACGCGTCAGACCACAAAATCAGATGATTAATATTTGGAATATCTTCGCACACTTTTTGTAATATAACACACAAAGCACTTGCAATTTCATTAGCCCCCCTACCCATCATATTATCTGTCCATATTGCATTATAAGCCACTTTGTTATAAGAACAATGTGCTGTTAAATTAAAAACCGAAAGCTTTCTTTTATAAAAGAAATTTGAAACTGAAGCTCGCGGACACGTCATGACATTTTGCATATCAAAGCGCACAACTACAGAATTATCTTTTCTGTTTCTATCCGTGTCCCTTTCTATTTTTGTTTCTTGCTTTAAGTTCAAATGATCACGTAATGTTTGAGCATTAATTTCATTAACGTTTGGTTGGGAGGTTAATATTATGTATTTTTCACACGTGTCACACTTGTCTTTTTTCGGGACATGGAATCCAATGTTAAATTCCAAATTAAAAATATCTCGATAAACATATAATTTTAAGGGTTTTATTTCATTTCTATTGCAGTTATCAACATATAGATTGTACATTTTTTGTACAGTGAGCCCGGGCTCTAAATACTGTCTCTTGGAATTTGCCCTACAATAATGTGAGGGAATAGTAGGAAATGATTTAATATGGTTACGAATTATTTCCTTTTGGGGTTCAGTATTGATAATATTTTTACAACTATGTGCACCACGCTTATCACTGTATCTGATATTTCCTCTTTCATCTTTTTCATGAAAAGTTTGGATTCGTGTCTGGCTTATATCCAGAGTATCTAAGTAAAACTGTTTGCACACACGTATATTTTCATCACTTTTTTTCAAATGATATTTATATGTAAACTGCTTTCTACTAGTAAATTCAGTATTAGGCAATCTAGTTCTTGCCTTACGTTCTTTACTTGTAGTTTGGTTATAGAAAATCTTTTTCTGGGAGTCGTTAAGAGTCCAAAACTCCGTGTAGATTTGTAGACAACCATCTTATGAGAAATGTTCACAACATTTGAATCTACATGTATGATTTGTGTCATATTTCAGTGATCTTTTTCGCTGTAGGTTTCCGTTTGAGTCCGTATATTCTTTTCCTGATTGTCGTCTCCTTTTTCGTACATTTTTTGCCCATTCTGCTTGGTTTTTCTTCCGTTTTCGAGAAGGTCTAGATTCAGCATTTGCTGTTTCGGGAATTTTAGCATTTTTATCACTATCTATTATGGTTGAGATATTACTTTCGTGAATTTTAGCATTTTTATCATTATCTATTATGGTTGTGATATTACTTTCGTGATCTATTATAACATTTGCTGTACTGAGTTCAGTGTCGGGAATTACGTATATTTCGTCCAAAGTTATTTCAAAAGATTCATCATTAGATATATTTTGAGCTGCTGGTAAGATTTCATTGATATTATTATTTTGGTAAGAAAGGGGTATGTTAATGGCTGGTTCTACAGATTCAAAATGATCAGACGAGGAATCATATTCACTACAATCATTGTCAATATCAAGGAAATCCAAAACTTCGAGGGCATTCTTAACTCCAAATTTTGTCTCCATACTTGTCAATTCTGAGGACAAAAAATCGACAGTTCTTGTACTTTAGTTCAATTAACACAAAAAATTCTCTTACAGTTATATATCTAGGGATATTTAATATGCAGCATGTAAGTGTATCATAAGTATGATTTAAGAGTTGAACACATTGTTCCAGGCTAATTGGAATTCCAGAAATATCGAGTGTCTTAATAGATTTTAGATGTTTGCAACTTTCAATTATTGTATCTATTTTAACATCACAAAACGATATGTACAGTTGAACAAGTTTCGAACAACATTTTAAAACATGAAACTCTGAATTGTGTAAATTAGGTGTTTCAGACAGATCCAAAAATTCAAGATTAGGCAGATATTTAAGGAAAGAAGTTGTTGATAAAACGGATCCTGAAAGGTTTAACCACGTTAGTTCTGCGGATTGACAAAGTCCTTTAGTAAAATAATAATCTACGTCGGCCAATTCACATAAGTATTTAGCCCGGCCACAATCAAAAGTTTTGAATTTATAAGCTTTAGAAAAAATATATTCTAAATCCTCTTCTAAGAGTTCAAGTGTAAAGTCAAATATAAATTCTTGCCAAAGAATTGAAGTTGTCGAAATTATATGATTAAACCTTCTGCAAACTCTGTTTACAACTAAAATTAATTCAGGAAGTCTTAAATGTGAAAATATGTGTATTAGGGGCAAGTCCGGGAGATTTTCTAGTTGATTCAATCTGAAAATTGAAAGAAAACCTACTATTAAACATCTATTTTTCTGATATAGATAAATAGAAATAACATGTATTGTAAAAGTCAATATCTGGTTAGAGCTATACTGTTCTATATCCAAAAAAATTTTGCCTTGTAGTTATAGTCATCAAATTAATTATAATGCTTTAAAAATCAATTTTATTTACTAGCTTATAATGGTTTTTGAAGTTATAAAATCACCAAACATACTTTACATCCATTGAAATTTAGCCAAAATCTTTTTAAAATCACACCATGTGGAATTTTGTCAAGGCAAGGAAAAGAGAGAGAACTGTTAGTTGATTTGACGTCACGTGATAAGAATGGTACGTACTGATTGGTTTCTGGACATAGAACACTATGGAAATAAGTTTAATACCAATAATGGATATAAACCATACTAATATAGCCTGTATTTCTGTATGAACAGCCTTACACACAATTACAATTTTATCAGGAGATAGAACTTTCCAAGCTCATTTTAACGGTACCAATAACTCATGTTTTTCAAAAAGTGGAGATAGAACCTTATAGACCTGAGGTGACGATATATTAAATTAAATTAATTTAGCTATAAGCTGAAAACACAATTCAGGAATTAAATTCAATGTCGGTTGTTGTGGTGGAATGACAATTTTGGGTAGAAAAAATGACATCATTACAGTCTATCTTCAGATTTAAATATCTGAATCGTGTTCGCACTTTTAACCGAACATTTCATAGTTGGCACTATGACCATTTCCTATAATCAGGCCTATATAAGAGGTTGACTTATCTCAAATTTATAATATTTATAAAAGTGGTATCCGGGTTAAACAACTCAAATCGATTGACCTCAAATTTTGAAGATGTGGCATGTGAAGTACATATCCTTAGTAGGCCAACCGATGTATGAAACCGATAATACAATCCTAACAAAAGTGCCCTCATTGCACACTGCATGGCGTTACCCGCCTTCATTGGCCATATGTGCTGAAAAGTAGGACGTAAAAGTCCATCCATTACATTTCATTTTTGTGTACGCAAATATGATTTTAATTTCACTTTTGTTTCCTTGATGTACGTACCCTTCAACCTATCCTAGATTTATTTGTCGAATTTATTACATAAACAGGATGTTTATGAGGTAAATTCACGGTTCAGATCATTTCACAAAGTCAAGCTGTCTTCATCTTATACCTTAACTCAGTAGGCACATATATTTTGATTGGCCGTATTCGCTAACGAAAACTTCCGTAATACAAGAAATGTGCCTAATAGTGTCAAGGTAGAAGACGATGTTCTTAATATCTTAACATTGTGAAGAATGAGGATGTATCTATACATGTGAAATATACCCCAAGTTCAACCCCCAGTCCTATTTATAACATGGTTGCATGCTATAGAACGATCCGTGCCCTTTTAAGCTATACCGAACCATGCTCAATGTATAACCCCGGGACAAGGCCCATTTCAACATACATCACTCCACATCACGTATCTTGTATAATATACTCAATACTGCACGTTGAAAAATTAGTTATTTGATCACCTTTTTAAATGTCGGCGAGTAATCAATAAATCAATATCTTGGTCCTTTGACCTCGCTGTCCGTCATGAATGGTCATCAACAGTTATGTTATATACATCGATGAATTTCACCTGGTTGACCTGGTTGATCTGTTTTGTGTAGGCCTTGTTTAAAGTGAATAATTATGTTTATTTTATTCACCAGTTGACATACGTAGAGTTCTTGGAAATCTAAGGGTATTATCGCTTGTGGGCTGTAGGAATTTTCAACTCACATTGTAAATCAATAGAAATTCAAATGCTTGAACAGTGTATACGACACAATAGTTAAGATCGTAAAGGGATCATTGAATACATTATGGCCTATCTTAACCCAGTTTAGGTTTATACGTTTATGCATTTAAATACAGTCTAAGGCGTATAGCAGGTTGTATTGATGAGAGAAGCAAAACAGGGCGTTTCCCACACTACATATTATAATACTATCAATTAACATGAAATATGAAAGTAGGTAGCCGAAACTGAAAAATGTAGAAAAAAAAATATATGCATAAACTTACCTGGACTTTCGTGTTAACCCGGAAACCATAGACCTACATATTTCATTTCTCTATTCAAATATTGTATACAATCTATTTTATACCTTGTCCATGGTTACCTACACGTCTTGATAATAGAGACATTCATGGTAGGAATCTCGTGATTATCAAGTCCGACTGAGACTGGATGGTCGTTAGACAATAGACAGCCGATATATAATAGAGACAAGGGGCTTTGTTATTTACATTATTATTTAATACAGTAGGCAAGCCTACGATACAAACGACAATCTTATTAAACATACCTGTCTTTAGATAACAATTTAATATACTAATAAACCACTTCATTAAGCTCTTTTATTGGGTGTTACAGAAGCACTGGTCTAGGTCACAAGTAGAAAACAACAACTTTTGTCTAAGGCAGAATGAAGTCAAAACATTAAAAAAAAACTTAAACCAGTGATTGTTGTTCGGTTATATCAGCATCAGCGCTTCAACCTTATTACATCTCTGAAATAAAAAAGAAATATCGAACAAAAAAACAATCATTATTCAATCAAAAAACACTTCCATACGTTTAACAACATCTAAAATTTCATTTCATACCAAATTTTGCAATCATTAGTAAATATAATAAAGGCCTAAAGTTGCCAGAGGGTCATGAATTTCTATCATTCTCAAATTCATTGTAGACACCTGTAAAAGGTTCTTATTTTATCGCTTGGTAATTCTTTATCAGAAACATGTATAGAGTGTAGACTCATATTGCTCTTACTCTTACAAAAGAGAACCCCTTTTAAGCCTTATGCCAAACCAAACAGTCAAAAGTCACAGGCCTATGTTTTATGAGATAAATTTCTTTATTATCGAAATCTGTACAAATTTCTGAACATTCCATAGATGAGCCTTCCAAAATCCAAATGGATGGTTAGATTAAACACCTTAAAAGTTATTAAAGGAAGGTAATTATCAGTGAAACCCGAGACAACCGGCACCATAGTAATTATACATGTCTTTATTTTTAATTACTCTTACAAAGTACAAGGTTACCAGGGGTGTTATGAGTTATGAGTGGATCCTTATCCACGTTACAAACAAACGTAAAAATGGAGGTCCTTTCTTGGTCCTTGACAATTTTATCCATCTTCCATGTTGATTGCAGTAGGTATCCGAGATCTTTTTGTTTCTTCTTTCTACTCATTGTTATTATAGCAACCACCATGTCAAGGTCGTTGTCATGGTTATATAAAACGTTGTCATACCAACGAAGTGAAGAATTTGGGTCCAGAGTTTTGAAATATTTCTTAGCTTCATTCACCCTGAGAAAATTTTGCTCTGTGGCTTATTTATCAAAGTTTTCTTGGGTGTCCGTCATGGTTCAGTATCTCGTTACGATTAATATCCATGTTATCATAGCCTATATCCAGCTGATTTATCAATTTCTTGGATTTAGTTATTTGTTGACTACATTTCTGTGATTTTTATTGTTACTTTACTAATCGTTATTCTTGTTCGACATTATTGCTTGTTCAATGGCCTTAAAACATATGCTGTAGTCTGGAAAGTTCACCAACAAGAGAGTTTCCTCCCTTAGTCTTATATCTCTCATATTCGGGGAAAAATCATGAATATCAAATTTGGTGGTGACCCACGGAAAATTACGTTCAAATGTGTTCTTGCTTTTATTTCATAGAATTAATCATTTAACATCTTGGGTTGATCTATGCTATTGTGATCTATTTAAAAGGCCAGCTAAAGTTACCCATAAAATAGAAGTCAGGCCAAACCAAGACGATATTGGGGTCTATAATGATTAGTAGTCTAATATATATGTAGCTCTTTAACCCAATTCTGTGGGAAGACGAGCGTATTATATCGTCCAATCACGGCGAATTTTAAAATCGCTTAAAAATCCGCTCGTGTCGATGTCTATTATTCTTTACACATGGAGAATTTTGAGGTGACATTTCTGGAGTTTTTTTTTTCCAGATACCCTAGAGTTTTAATTTCTTGTTCACAAATTGTAGGCTTAAAAGCATCGCGGTTGAAAGCCAACAGGCTAAAAGTATCAATAGGCTCCAAAGCCATGGTTTGAGATCTCGTTGCCACGCTCGGAGCTGTTCACAGTTCTAGTGTTATTGTTCTTGCGCTTGACCGAGTAACCACTGACTTGAAACTGGTCGACTTTTTATTATTGAATCTTACGATCATCCAGTCTCACCCATGCTTGATAACATACACGAGATTCCTATCTGGAATGTCTCTATTATCAAGACGTGTAGGTAAACATGGACAAGGTATAAAATAGATTGTAAATAATATATGGAGAATACAGAAATGCAGATATATAGTTCTCGGATTAACACGAAAGACAACCCAGGTAGCCTAAATTTAAGCATATTTTTTACACTTTTCAGTTTCGTCCATCTACTTTCATATTTTCCTGATAGTTTTACCTGTTTAGGTGGGAACGCCCTAGTTTGCTTCTAATTTTATTCAAACACACGGACTAAAATAGACAAGCTAACGCGCTGGCCCAGATTTTAAATTTTAAATCCCACGATACTATACCATGCACGAAAAGTATTTCATTTTCATGAAGTCTTTTGTCAACTAGTGAATAACTCGGTTGAATATAAACATATTGATTCTTTGTAAGACATAACAGAAGTAGCATTAAGAACACAAGATATCAGTGGCGGCGCCAATATAGAGACTACAGTTTTCAAATGATTGTAATGAAATTTGGTGTGATCACGGGGGTCAAGTTCGAATATGATGATTTTTCCGTGAACGGTTTGTGAGTTATTGCCCTGGACTTAGTAAAATCGCGTCAAAGTTTTGTTGTGGTCACAACATAGAAGCTACAATTTTCAATGGATTTTGATGAAACTTGGCGGGTGCATTGGGATTGATAAGACGGCGGTCAAGTTCGAATTTGACTATTTTTCGATGTACAGTTTTTGAGTTATTGCCCTTGACTAAGAAAAATTGCGTCAAAATTTTGTTGTGGGCACAATAGAAGCTACAATTTTCAATGGATTTTGATGAAACTTGGTGTTAGGGTGTATTGAGACGAGTCTCAATGAAAGCACTGGCCTAGGTCACAGAGGAATAGATAAGTCTATTGATTATGTGAAAATTAGTAAGTCATTAGTATGATTTTAGTTGAAAAGACACAAACACAAAAATACACTGCATGTTATATAATATACTGTATATAGCCATGGCACCAGTCCTGAAATAAGTATTCCCTGAAATCTAACTCAGAAATAGATTAATTTATTGATAGAACATGATACATTTATATTAACAAATCTATGCTCCTAGGATGAATGGACATTGTTCAATGGTTCAAGTCTACCGTGAAAGAGGAAATTGCTAAGATTTTGATTTCTTTTGTAAGCTACAACCAAACGTTTTGTGTATACATGGGGAAATTTGTTCTGAAGTTCCGAGTAATGGCGTTTGACTATTATGGAGGCTTTGGTAGCTGTAGAATCAAATGTCGTTATAAAGGGTGTTATCTGGTTATCATGTTGAATGTTGAGTCCATTTGGCCTCACAGTCTGCAGTTGATCGATCCAATAACTTTCGCGTTGTAGACGTCTAAGCTTAGGTTTCATGCTAGGTGATGTAGAAACTGTTTCTATAGGCATGATGAGAAGGTTGAAGTGATTCGCAATTGGTCTATCCTTGCCATGCACTATATCATAGCGATGGCCATTGAATCGCGTTCGAAGCGCATTTTGAGTCCCGCCAACATATTGTACATCGCATTTTTTACAAGAAATTAGGTATATGATATTTTGATCTCCGCAAGAAATTAGGTTATTCATCGCAAACAATTTTCCGTTCTTGTTATTTTTGAAAAAATGGGTAACATGTATGTGTTCGCATGTGTGACAAGTAGGACCTCCACAGGGAAATGAACCGAATCCAATAAAAGGTGGAGGGGGGTCTTCTTTTCTCAAAATGTCTGAAAGCGTGTCATTCTTAATTTTTCGAAGAAACCTTTTGGAATAACCCCTCTCCCTTAATTTGTCAAAAACTAGTTTACAGGATTCAAAATCAGCCTGCTGGGTGCAAATTCTATGAAATCTTAGAATTTGAGATTTAATTATTCCAGAAAATGTGTGCTTCGGGTGGAACGAGCTTTTGTATAAAAGTTGGTGGGTATCAGTTTCCTTAAAAAATACTTTAATGTCTAATTTTTTAGAAGAAAGAAAGTTGTTGCCTTTGAACACCGTGGTGTCCAAAAAATCCATGCTGTTTTCGCTGATATTTGCTGTCAATTTCACAGAAGGCAGATAGGTGTAAAGAGATTGAGTAACATCAAAAGAGATAAATATTCAATGATGGATTATCCCTACAGCAAATTTGATAAGTAATCTTGATATTATGTGCATTATGACTGTTTTATTTGCTTTCTGTTACATAAACACAATAATGTACGATATTGCTCAAGGGCTAATGAAAATATTAAACTTGGTGTGAGCATTGGGATTGATAAGACGGCGCTCAAGTTCGAATTTGACGATGTAAACACGATGGGGGCTACACTTTTTATCGGATCTGGATGAAACTAGGTATACAGGTATATTATGAGATCTCAGTAAAGTTCAAATGTGTCTGTGTTAGTTAGTTTGTGTGAATTTGGTGATACCTTATTATATATCTTTGAAAAGTGTGATAATTCAACGCTTCTTGGTTATTGCTATTGAATTAAAATGAGTTTTGGAAAAGCTCAGCATAACTGACCCTAAATTGATGAGATATTCAGGTTTTTTTTTTAAAAAAAAAAAATATGAGAAATTTGATATTATTATGAAGATCTTTAATATATTTTTGGTCAATAAAGATTTAGTTATCAACTCTGACAGCTGCCAGTGGGCGTATGTTACCTTGCTTGGAAAGCTATCTTACTTAATAACGTTACCTGTGTTTCGAAACGTAGTATGTAATAAATCTAAAGCACAGGACAAGTTTAAAAGTTCTTAAATTTGAATAAAATTGTGTGTTAATAATTTCATGTTCGTAAATACAGCTTCTGTATACTTTAATCTGTAGATAATCTGAAATTAGCAGAAGAGACAAATCTCCTTGGGATCTTTGAATTAAAATTAAAACAAATTCTTTAACAAAACTGTGGCAAAAATATATGGCAATAATAGTATTAAAAAATATGGATATCATGTGCATCGTTTGTAATTTGTTGATCCAAAAGTTTTCTCTTATCTTTTTTTTTTGTGTACATTTGGTTGATTATAAATCTGTTCGATTTGTATAATTTTAAGATGGCTTAAATCATAGTCTGATTGGTTGAAATGACATGTTTTATTTCGTTTATTTGAATTGTATATCTGATTTATGTTGAGAAAAACGCGTTTAAGGCTATTCTTAGTTTCACCAATGTACAGCTCATGACATTTTAAACAGGCAATAAGATATATAATATATTTACTGGTGCAGATTAATTTTTCGCACAGAAAAAATAAGGACAAGCGTTACAGCGAGAACTAAGACATTGGGTTGCAACATTATTTGGGTTTTGAAAGGTCAGTGTATTGGGATAGATATGATATCACCCTTATAAAATTGGTCTGTCTTAGAAAGACGCAATCATTTGTAACCGGGTACAGGTTAGGGGGTACTTAATTTTTTGTATACTGTTGTGGTCTGAAGCATATGGTTAAGTAAAGGGAGGTAATAATGTTCTGCTATGGAAACGAAGTGTCGATTGGTATTTTATGCTGTGTAAAAAAAAGGATCTTGTATTGAAATTAACTGTGTTATTTCTCTCTTCCACAGGTAAAGTTTAACTTTTATTTATATTAATTATGTATCAAAATGTGCATTAGTCATCCATGTTTATGTTTATAATAATAATAAGTGTTGGCAGTGTTAATTATTTGAGAACTTAGTCAATGTATTGTCTTGATGGAATTGAACATGTTTGTAAGACATTTTAGGTTATTTCCCTCATTAATATGTATAAGGCATTTTGGCGGCAAATCCTCTTGCTTTTCGTGAATATTAATGAGCCCAAGTCCAAATATGGTCACGTATTATGTCATTCACATTGGTGTCTGTAATTTGCCAATTTGCCAACTTCCATACTCAATAATCTTGTTATGTAAACATTGTCAAATGGATTCCGTATTTTATGCTGTGTAAAAAAAGGATCTTGTATTGAAATTAACCGTGTTATTTCTCTCTTCCACAGGTACAACCTGAGCCCAACCAAACCTTCTTATCCCATAAAAATAAATTTGTTTGTTGACAATACCGGGGTCAACACATTCTCTGTTAACAAGATATCATCTAATGAATATACAATAGATGTGATTATATTAATCAATATTCAAAACTATATAAGGTTTCGTTGGCATTCTAATTCTATCGTGACAGTAACTACAGTAGTACATACACGTATTAGAAATTACGTCACGAAATAGAATAACAAAAGTTAATTACATTTTTACTAAGGTTTTTTGGATTTATCAGATTATATAAGGATCCTGTTATGTACCAGGTATATCTACTGACGAATATTTATTGGTCAAGTTTAAATTTTTAAAATTTTATGTTTATTCTAAGACGTAGTATCCCTTAGATACACAGAATGTCGTCACAAGCAATATGTATCAAAGGTTACAAGACTTAAATAACATAATATAGTTGAGACAGGGTTTACGCGACTCTGCACAACTCCTAATGGAGTTCCTCACTGCTCACATAAAGACGATTCTTTCTACTACATTCAGGTAATAAGCATATTAACACCATAAATAAATTATCATATTATTATATATCATTAAACTCTTTTTTATTTAAGATTGAGAAATAAGATGTATAGTCTGAGACCAAGACGGACACTCAAAGAAGCCGTCCGAAAAGTGTTTCTGCTGACAAAACGATATTCAAGGGATATTAAGAAGCTTTTGATCCTCTTCTTAGTGCAATTTTGTGTCATCCTTCCATTTTTCTACTGGAACGTCCCATGGAGTGCCTATTTCAAAATCAGAAATCGAAATGCAAACTTTGATAAATTAGCCACAGAGCAAAATTTTCTCAGGGTGAATGAAGCTAAGGAATATTTCAAATCTCTGGACCCAAAATCTTCACTTCGTTGGTATGACAACGTTTTATATAACCATGACAACGACCTTGACATGGTGGTGGCTATAATAACAATGAGTAGAAAAAAGAAACAAAAAGATCTCGGATACCTACTGCAATCAACATGGAAGATGGATAAAATTGTCAAGGACCAAGAAAGGACCTCCATTTTTACGTTTGTTTGTAACGTGGATAAGGATCCAAGTAATTTCGAAGAAGCAAATTACCTCCGCAGTTACCTCCCTTATGTGGAACGTTTTGGAGGATCTCGACCTTACGTTGCAGACGTCCCAATTCCTGATACAAATCTGACATTCCGAAATTATGTTTCAAAAGACAAAAGTTATATTAAAGAGACTATTGATTATAGTTTTTGTTTAAAAGTGGCTAAAACGAGGAAATCTAAATATGTCCTGGTTCTTGAAGATGATGCTGTAGCTAGAGACGACTTTTTACTTATTTTAGATCATATCTTCAAATATCGATTTCAACACAACATTAATATGCCATGGGCAGCATTAAAACTCTATTATCCCGAGAAATTGTCTGGATATGCGTACGACCTCGATCGTTTGATTGAATTGTGTTCGACTGGTATCGTAGGTTCCACTATTTTTACATTCCTTTGTTATTTGATACTCGGATTATTCAAAACTTTCAAAAAGTTTAATACATATCTATTTTTTACCATAGGATTTATTTTTACTGTTTGTTCTTGTTGTGCTATTGGACGTCAAAATATTTTAGAATTCCGTCGATTTTTACCATTTACATACCAAGTGTTGAAACCTCCAAAATTCGGTAGCGTAGCCACGTTATACCATTATTCTATTTTGGACGATCTAAGCAATAGCATGTACCATGATGCCTTTAAACAGAAAATGAAAGCTGATTTTGCTTTGGCAAATTTTATAAAAAATTCTAAATTACCAGCTTATATGATATTTCCGTCCTTATTCCGTCACATAGGTCATATATCTTCCTTACCTAAACCCAACGAGAAGGCAGTGGAGTTTATCTAAGAGTGTCTTAGGCTAGGTTATAGCGTACAAGTGAATATATCATTTAAAGTCTACGCCTCAGAACGCAGTAAACGTACAGTGAGAAATGTAGCTTAGAAACATTTGAAAGGACATTTATTCTTAAGTAGTCATTTTGAGATCAAATGATAGATACAAGCCTTAAGCTAATGCAAAAATATCTACATGTATAATACACATAGCACATTCCAGGGCGTGTCAAAGGAGATTATGTTCCCCACCAGTTTGACCAATCGTACCGTAAAGGCGTTTTTATTTAAGAAACTGTATCTATACAGATCAAAGTGTGCATTTGGTACGATTTGTTTGAGATTCAAGATGGGCAACATTGACAAGTTAAAACATTTTGAGAACTCATTCTAAGATTATAGGAATATAGACAAAAATATTATTTTTACCAGCGTTTGAAATTTTCTAAAAATAAAGGGAAAAACCTGAAGAAAATTATATTCCATTGGCAGATTTAACTGTTCAATAATGTGTGTATTGGGATTATTGAGCACTCAACAAATAAACATGCAACACGGATATTTATCATTTATGGCGAGTTGATTTGCACCATGTGCTGATAATCGGCCGTCAAAGTGAGTTGACACGATTTGCTTAAATAAAAACGCCTCTTGTCTAAGAAACAAGATTTTCTTTAAGTTAAGCTAATAGGTAATAGTGTTCACAGCTCACCAAATCCATATGTGCCCAGAATTATCTATGTTTGAAAGTTAAATCTTTTCTTGAGCCCCTTCCATATAGGCCTATATAAAAGTGAAATTTTAAATTTTTGATCTCAAGAAGGTAGCATACAATTCTTACAACGATGAATCATATAAACACCCATTATAATCACTGTTCATGTATGCGCATATTACATCATACGTAATACATATTGCATGTATTTATATTTTATTTATTCCAACGGGTTTAGTCAAATAACGGGTGTATGGAGTTTTATGTCATGTTACAGACCTGGTAGGGCTTATAGGTATAGGCCTATAAATCTTTTAAATTTTGTTCACAAATAGCATATTTATAAATTTTATTAAGGTTGCATGTTTATTTATGGTTTTTTTTTAATATTTACCTTTGTTAAAACTCTAATTTATCTTTTCAATGAAGTAACCGTGTTATATGATTATCTTATCTTATAGCGTCGGCCTCATTGCCCTTGAACATGTATGGTTTAGGGACAAATATCATATATGAATGATACTCTCTAGGTTTACCCTTCGTCTATTTCATCGAGCTGATCAAAGGTTAGCATCAGTTAATGCATAATCGGGTGTTTCAATAACAAAATCAGCTAACATTATCTAAAGGTTGTTTGGATCAGTGGCTCAAGTACCATAGATGACCATGGATGAAAAAGTTCATGGGCCCCACCTGTAAAGGAGCCCCAATCACAGAAACAATGCAGGAGACTCATACAGTGGCGGAGCCAAAGGGGGCTTAGAGGTCACCCACAAGCCGCCCCCTCCCCCAGCATTCCCGAAGGCGTGTTTTCGGGCAAAAATCTCATAACTAGGTTAGAAATTCAGGCAACCTCAGGTATTTCGCCAGCCCCCGCCTCCCCCGCCCTCCTTGGACGTAAACCTTGTACATTACAAGGTAGGTGTTCCAGTCATTTGCATTTGTTGGGGAGTAGAGACTAAATGATCAAGTTAGTATTCCAGTCCATTTCAAAATTACTTTTTCTCTTACCTCCTTGTTCAAAATCAAACACCATTTTACTTCATTCATCAAATATACACTAAAGCTAGTACAGTAATTTATTTTGGGGGTAGGCAAATATACATCTTGGAAAAATCAATGGTCTTAATACATTTGCTGTGGTCTGGAAAGTTTCAACAAGAATAGAGTTCCCTCCCTTAGACTATATTCTTACTCTCCCGTGGGGGTGAAAAATCGTAAACGTCAAATTTGGTGGTGACCCACGGGATATTACCTTCAAATAAACGTGTTATTGCTTATGTATTGCAATTAAATATAAATATTATTCAAAATGTATATTTTCTGCTAAAGTTTTCATTCATGACAGACGACATTGTGCTTGCATTTTATGATAATTATGTAGAAACGAAGGTACTAAATTATTGATGTGCTATTCAGATGTGATAAGATGGCGTCTTCTACAACTACAAGTCAAAGAGAGTAAAATAATATGGCGATTATTTTGGAAAGAATTGTTTAGATGATGGAATGTAAGTGATATTTTGATTTCTATTCATTTTTTAATTGTGATATTCACATTTAGCTCTTATGAGTTTACTCAGATATTTGCTGAAAGTGGAGAAAGGAGAGAGAGTAATAAAAAGCAGTTTCCAGAAACAGAAATGAACACTCATGGCATGGGGACCTTTGTCACCAAATGTTGGGTTTCCAACTGTCAGTTACATGGGTAAGCCTTTACAGGAATATCTCTGTAAAAATATTCAAGTCCGAGGGTTTTAAACCTATTTAGCTATCTAAAATATGCAAGACCAAGATATAAGCTTATTTGGAAAGATAAATATTTTTGTAGCTCAGTCATACCATCATTTTTTTCCCTACACCATTTATGTCGTCTCCGGTTCAATAAAAGGTTGTTTTTAACAAAACTGAAACTGATCTCGTATCAGACATTTAAAACTGCATGTGCAGCCAAAAGTTCAAAGGTTACAGAGTCACTTGATAAAAAATGAAACAAAAATGAGAGGTACCGGTACTCTCCTTCTGGGCCAGTGCTAAACCCGCTTAATTTTTGAAGCGAACCGATTTCAGATGGCCTGAGATGAATTTTGAACATTTACAGGGCTTAATTTTCACTTCAAAATAAACCCAATGGCAACACTGTATCAGTTATATTGTATATCTGTTATAAAATGTGTATATTTTGTGAATATTGTGAGCCGGTAATGTTATCACATATTATCTTGTAATTTATGTTTTGTGCTATAATGATGTTTAATATTGTATAATTGTTGGTGTTAAAGTGAAGTATGATAATATGATTCTCATAAAGGCACCGGCCAAGATCAAAAGCAAGAACAATATTTCAAAGTTTGATGCTTACCAAGTATATTATGCTAGATTCTTAAAAATTCACTTTAAATATGATATTGTCAAATTGTTACTTTTGTTTGTGTATTTAGATTAAATGTTGTGATCCCATGGAATTTGATTGTTAACCATTGAATGATCTGTACCGGACGTCTGTATGTAAATTTATAGTCAAGATTAACCTGTCAATAGATGTTGTATATGTAATGCCGTTGTCAAGTTGATGAAAGAAGTAAAATGGTGTTTGATTTTGAACAAGGAGGTAAGAGAAAAAGTAATTTTGAAATAGACTGGAATACAAACTTGATCATTTAGTCTCTACTCCCCAACAAATGCAAATGACTGAAACATCTACCTCGTCATGTACAAGATGAGCCTCCTGCATTTTTTCTGTGATTGGGGCCCCTTACAGTTAGCCTCATAGTCTTGTCTAAGATTTTGTGAAATTAAGTCTCCTTTGCAATCATCAAATGTTTGCGCTAGAATGTTATGTAACCTATGAAATCTCTAGAGGTATATAGTGATTAGGAACCTATGTCAATATAATAACTTTGAAAGAAAATCAAGACTGCATACAAAAGCAGAAAGTATTGGATCATATTTTGTAACTATCTGTGTCCTAACATTGATTATCAAATAATTTTATTATAAAAGGTACTGACCCGCCTGAAAAAATCCAAGGTAGGACATTCTAATGGTAGTAATAGAAACTTAGAATTTTTGAAAACTATTTTATTATCTTTACATTTTGGTGGTTTTTTATCTTTATAACTTTATAAATCTGACAAAAGTCTGTGTGTTTTGTTTGCAAGTATAGTGAACTGCAGAAAAAAAAGGAAACAAGACATCTAGATCTGGGTTTTAATCAGATCAACGCTTTTCTCTATTGTCTAGTACAAACAGAAAAAACCTTTAGAATGAAATTTTTGCATTAATCACAAACAAACATCTATAAACTTATCTACATCTGTAACAATTTAAAGATTATTTTATAAGACTCATAGTGATATGTCACAGTTTCTTGCATGCTTTTAGTTTCCACAAAATATTCTTGAATGTCTAGATGTGATATTACTCTAACTTGGAGGCAGTTAGCTTGTACATGATGTAGGCTTACAGATGGGATATCTGACCATTAAGGGCCAGATGTAACTGTTCTTAAAAGCTGCTCCAAACCAATTTTAGATTACTAGTTTTTGAGAATTTTACAAACAAAAGCCAAATACGGGATCTATGTAAAGCTGAATCTATGATATCCCTGTTCCTTACATGGTACTACAATACAGTCGAGGCGTAGACTTAACTTACAGAGTTGTATGAAGAAGAGAAAAGCCTACCATCTGTATAGGATGCAAAAACCATTTCCTTAGTGAGACTTATACATAAGATGGAATAAGTAATATGAGAAAGTTATGCATATATATTTTGGGATAAATGTATATCTTAAAATGAAATGGTGCAGATTGTAAAGTATAGATCTGTTTTAACAAAATTGCATCCTTTTAAACGCTACAAGTATTTGACTACTTTGTGAGGGAATAAATATTAATGAGACATTGATCATAATACTAAAATTTGGCATGGAAATTCATTTATTCTTGATGTTTTAATATTATCTAGCATACCATTACAGACAACAAGAGTTGTGTTGATTAAATTAACATCATTTCCTAATTTACAGGGCTTTTAGTGAACAGAATTGATACTGAATTGGTTGTTGTAGTTATTAATTGGTTAAAATCTGGTTGTTGGTTGTAAACTGGTTGTTGGTTGGATATTTGTTGTTTTTTGTCTGGTGCTATTGGTTTCACCATATCATTCATATACATACTTATACTTTAAACAACCAAAACATTTTCTTGTGGAAATCTGAAAATAAATCCTATCATCTATCCAATAATGATATAGAATTTGGTTTGACATTTATTTGATATACTGACATTACTGGTATAATATATAATTATATTGAGTGGGATAAATTTAACATTAACTAACATTTCTATCTTTAATTAGAGAATTATTTATGTAGCAGTTGGTTAAACAGTTTAGCTCGATTTAACTATAACCATAAAAAATAAAGAGCAATGTGTTAAGTTGGTAAAATAGTTGACATTTCACAGTATAAGAAAGTGTTGTTACATATGAAGGCATTTCTGTAAATCTGGTGAAATCAGAAGACTATAAAAGATGTTTTGATTCTTTCTACAAAATATAAAGATTGGGCTTCTTTGAGAGATTGTAAAGAGGTTTTTTAATATTTGTGTGTGTATCCGGGACACTGATAGCATCAATTTGTACCATTCCAATTTTCTTGTAATTCCACTTAAACTAAGAGTTTTTAAGACATCACTAATCGCAAATTTGCTTTATTGCATAAGGCCCTTTGCAATAAATGACATCATCAAACACTTAGTTTTAGTGGAATTGCAGGAACCACAAATGTCTGAGTGAAAATTGGAATGATGCAAATTGATACTATCAGTGTCCCCATACACATAGAAAATTAAGAAAACCTCTTTACAATCCCTTTAAGACCAGAATTTATGTGCCTTTGCTTGAAACAATCCTCGAGCATGTCATGAAGTTGGAATTTTTGTGCTTTTATTGGAAACATTCTTGAAGCATTTATGAATTTGGGATTTGCCATGTCCCTGTTTTATATGAGGAATTTCATTGTTTTTCTATACATTGTGCTACTGGGTGAAAGGCAGGATTCAGTACATTGTGGAGTTGATGAATCTAAAGAACTTGTGCAGTCTCTTTACATTATGTTGAGGATGCAAAAACCATTCCTTCATTGCAGTTAGACTGATACTTTGAAGGGATGTCAGATGTCACTATTGCAAAAGCTGCTAATAATATCTAATGAGCTTTGCAATATTGATATGAAAGAAAGCTAAGTTTTACTAGAAATGCAAGAACCACAGACATCTGCAAATTTGAATTGTGCAAATCAGTGCAATTAGTGTCCCTGTTACACATAAAGAATTTAGAAAACCTCTTTACAATCCCTTTAAAGGAAAGATATTTCTATGAGAGAGTTATGCATACATTTGGAATATTCTAATTGATTGATTTTGTGAAAATCTTAAAGCTTTGTTAGATAACATCACAGTCATGAATAAGACAGGTATCCCTATTGATATCAGTGATGCCCTTAATGCCACAATAAGCCGCAGGTGTCATCACAATAAGACATGTGAGCAGATATATATTGAGAAATGGTACCAGCATATTGATGGTAAGTATCAGCATGTCAATGAAACATTAGCGGAGGGGCCAAGTAGGGGCCACAAACTTGTCAGGGGAGGAGGGGGGCTGACACACAATTCCTTTTGCTATGTACTAAAATAAGAAATTTTGGGGACAAGTGTTGGGAACAGTGCCAGGACAGCATCTTTGTGGGAGGCCCCCTAATGGTGCTTGTTCCTAATCTAGTAATTTGTTGCTGCAAAAAAAAACTTTCCTAAAAGCACGGACTTGGGTCAGAAGCGAGGATTATTGATTTCAAAGTTTGAAATAAGTTTTCTTAGTCATTAGAATTAAAAGAAGAATTTAATTTAAAGATTATCTGTTATTAACTATTGCGATGAAGAGTATTATTAGAAGTAAAATATTATCTAATGTTACCGGGAAACATTAAGAATGTATGTTACCTTGCAGGTTATATTTGTGGTATGTAGCACATGTTAAAGTGATAAAGTTGTCTTATTATTCAAGCTGATTATACAAACAAATTGCTTACTACTATTCTGGGCCTGGGTTATTTTGTCTTAGTTGTGGAAGTTTACACTGATTTTTGTGGAAAAACTGAAAAAAGTAGCTTTAATTGAACTCTCATAGTTCATGACCGAAAGATTTGACAACTGTATTCATTTAATACACTCTATAAAGCTGTACCACTCAAACACTATATTACATAATACTTTAACCAATAATCATACCAAAATATCAAATATTCACAGTATGATATTTTCAATGATTTATATGTGAAAAAACACCTGGGGGATACATGTTGCTATAAAACCTTATTACTGTATAATTTCACCATTAAATTAACCCAATAAGCTAAGCTAATCTATTCATTTCATTATATTTTTTTATTGATTATTAATTTAATTAGTGGTATAACAATATTCTGAATCATAGAAATATTGAGCTGAGCTTATTTAAATAAATAATAATAATCCAGAAATTTCAAATAAGTTACTGGGTGGTAAGGAGGTTTGGCATGCTCTAGATAAGTTACTGGGTGGTAAGGAGGTGTGGCATGCTCTAGATCAGTTACTGGGTGGTAAGGAGGTGTGGCATGCTCTAGATCAGTTACTGGGTGGTAAGGAGGTGTGGCATGCTCTAGATAAGTTACTTGGTGGTGAGGAGGTGTGGCTTGCTCTAGATAAGTTACTTGGTGGTAAGGAGGTGTGGCATGCTCTAGATCAGTTACTGGGTGGTAAGGAGGTGTGGCATGCTCTAGATAAGTTACTTGGTGGTAAGGAGGTGTGGCATGCTCTAGATCAGTTACTGGTGGTAAGGAGGTGTGGCATGCTCTAGATCAGTTACTGGGTGGTAAGGAGGTGTGGCATGCTCTAGATAAGTTACTTGGTGGTAAGGAGGTGTGGCATGCTCTAGATAAGTTACTTGGTGGTAAAGAGGTGTGGCATGCTCCAGATCAGTTATTGGGTGGTAAGGAGGTGTGGCATGCTCTAGATCAGTTACTGGGTGGTAAGGAGGTTTGGCATGCTCTAGATAAGTTACTGGGTGGTAAGGAGGTGTGGCATGCTCTAGATCAGTTACTTGGTGGTAAGGAGGTTTGGCATGCTCTAGATAAGTTACAGGGTGGTAAGGAGGTGTGGCATGCTCTAGATAAGTTACTGGGTGGTAAGGAGGTGTGGCATGCTCTAGATCAGTTACTGGGTGGTAAGGAGGTGTGGCATGCTCTAGATAAGTTACTGGGTGGTAAGGAGGTGTGGCATGCTCTAGATCAGTTACTGGGTGGTAAGGAGGTTTGGCATGCTCTAGATAAGTTACTGGGTGGTAAGGAGGTGTGGCATGCTCTAGATAAGTTACTGGGTGGTACGGAGGTGTGGCATGCTATAGATCAGTTACTGGGTGGTGTTTCTAGTGGACTTGACTGATTGATATTCAGATATTGCTTATTAAAGCTTTTAAAAAACTTTTTATTTTGCTCAGACAATAGTAATTACAATTTTAATCAACACTAATATATTTTATTTCAATAACTACTGTTTCTAATACGTTTTTATGGTAGATATATTAAACTTCATTAGAGTTTATTCATTCTATTTTACTATAATATATGAATGCCTTCAACATATTGCACATTCTGATCACAGAAAACTACCATTGTGTCAAGAATAGTTTTCTGTAGCTATGACAATCCATGTAAAATTTATAGCCTGCCAATGGAAAAGTTATTCAATTAATCTTTTTGGGAATTCATGCTTTCAACTTATTGCACATTCTGATCACAGTAAACTACCATTGTGTCAAGAACAGTTCTCTGTAGCTATGACCATCTATGTAAAATTTGTGGCCTACAAATGGAGAAGCTATTAAAATATTCTTTTGGGGTATTTACTATAATATATTAATGCCTTCAAATAGCACATTCTGATCACAGAAAACTACCAATGTGTCAAGAACAGTTCTCTGATACTTTGACCTAACATGTTAGATTTATGATTGCTTGCTATGCTTGTATACCTACGGTAATTGAAAAGGAATAATAATTTATTTATATGACTGGTGAAGTATATTGAAATATCAATATTACATGTATATCAAGGCAAATATTGAAGGTTTAAAAATGAAAATCCATGGTCGACTCACATTAGTGACAGCTGTAATATTATTGAGTTGGAAAGTTTTTCTTACATTTGATGTAATTTGCTTGATGAATGTTATAGTCTGTTATAGATTTTAAGGTCACATACCAAGCACTTTTTCACAATTTGTTCAGAAGAAACTGTTTGTATCTGTTAATGACTTCAATGGATTTATGATAATTTGATTGTTGGTGATATGGGGTTATAGTCAGAATGGAACCTCACCATCCTAAAGGTCTGTTAGACTTTCTTCTGAATCCTATCTTTTCTGGAAATTCTTTGAAATGTTTTCAGGGGTATGAAATAGGCATGTGGATAACATGAGATAAATTTCTCTTGAAACTAGGCTTTAGGAGGGTTTGATTTTACCAAATTTACAGTCTTGATATTGAAAATATACTTCATTAAGAAATTGCAAGAGGTGATCTTGAATGGCTTGGTTGTTTTTTTTTCTTTAAACCGTGTATTAGTAAATGAGGGAGATGAGATATCAGAATATATCTCATGGATGATCCAAGGCTATTTCGTGCTTCACTCAGAATCAATTTCATATCTAGCTAGCACTTCAAAAACTCCCAGATTATTTCATGTGTGATGCTAGTAATTGTTATACATGATTAAGATCCTGATAGTTTAAGAGCAGCTTAACACAGCTTCTCTTACAATTTTCCTTATTGCACACTTTATGGTGTTGGAATTCCAAAATATTTTATATTCTTGCATGAAATGTGGAACTCTTCTAGAAGTTGAATTTTGCCTTTTAGTTTATGTTTTTATTACACCCATTTATCGAGTCAGTGCTGAAAACTGTTCCAACAATTTTTGAACTGTAAAAAAGGGGTTGAGGGTGCTGATCAATGATAATCCAATTTTGTGTGTTATGGTGGCTAAGTGGTAGTAAAATTTGAGACATATGAGAGAACCATTTTATAATCTGAAGGAATTTTAAGCTTATAAATTGACCTTCTTACAGTATTTATATTCTTCATCGATTTATTTATTGAAATAAACAATAAAATTTTCACATCTGTCAGCTATTTCCTGTCTTATTCTGTTTTTTCCTTTTTCTTTTTTAATTCAACAGAAAATAACCGATAGCACAGGACCCCACAATGAAGCAATGACATGTTTTATGTGTCTTTAAGTTTAGTTCAAAAGCTTAAAACATAGTGTTATTTATTTATTTATTTTGAAAACAATACTTTTGACAATTTTCAAGTTTTACCTGAAATTTAGGGAGGTCTGATTGCTTCATTTCAATATCTTAAATGTTTTTAAAATTAGCTAAATTTGTTTGATTTTTTTCTTCACACAATGTTATGACGGGCTGTTTTTTTACCTGACATTTAAGTAGTGAATTCCCTTTGAAAGAATTTTGAAAGAAAAGTTGTCTATTTATCACAATTTAAAACATCTACAAGGCAAACAATGCAAACATATACTATATAAATCAAGCATATACTGAGAGCTAGCATATCTTTGATGACCTTTTAGTTCATTTGTAAGGGTCAGTGATTTCAATGTGTTGTATTTTGAATTGAATGAGTCTTTTATTAGAATGTTTATGATTGTAAATAAAGACTGTCCTAAATAGATGACAATTTAGATTAATCAACAGTGTATAGATAGGAAAGAACCTGGAGGTTATCAGGCTCTCTAGAATATACCTGGAAACATTAAGTTGAGATCTCAAGTGGCACTGATGACAGGTGGTCCAGTAAAATGAATGTATTTATAAACTTTTAACTGTTATTTTATAATGTAATGGACACTTTAAGCTTTTCATTTTGTGTATTAAGAATGGAATCTACAACAACTGAACCGAAATTTCAAGAAGAAGGTATAAACTAAAATTGCTTTTCATTTTGTCTTTTGCCGTCTCTTTTTTGTTTCTATAATCTCTGCTTTTTTGTTCACTAGGATCACTTACTTTGTCATAACACAGGAGCCTTATTCTCAAAAACTAAAATACGATAAAATCAATATTTTAGGTAATACAGCTTGTTTCATCAACTAGATTTTAGTGACTAATAAGAATCACTGGAATCATCCTATGTTTTGGAGAATAAGGCCCTTTAACTTATTGTGTGTGCCTTCTTATATAATCAACAACAAATAGATAGAAAGTTGACCTTTTTTTTTACTTGTGATCTAGATTATCATTTTTTTTCAAATAAAAATATTAAATGCCTCAGTGTAACATGCAACATGCTGTAGACAGTTACTGCTTAGTTCAAAACATCTTTTTATGTTTTTATGTAATTAATTCATAAAATCTGAAATATCAGCACTTTTTTTATAGCAGAAGATGTCTAAATGCTTATGAACCTCAATTCCTTTTATTAAAAAGTATCCCCCCATTTCCAAACAACTCTCCCACTGAGGTTTTATATTTGAATCATGAGGCACTAGTTCAAGGATGTGAATATGTGAAGATATGTGAATAATTAATTGGCTGTGGATAATATATGATAAAATATGACTTGGACGAGAGGAACAAAACCCATAAAAACATGGCTTTGACAATCTCCTTATTTGGTTGGTTAAAGGGATGTATGCAAAATAATATTATTGTAAGCATTGTACATTATACAGGAAAAGATTTTGAAATTGTGCTTTTTATAACCAGAAAACGTTAAAATGTTTATGTAAAGCTTTTAACAAGTTTTGGCCGTCTAAAATATCAGCAACTTACTTCAGGTTAAATCTTTCAGATATGTTATGCGACACATTTCTCTAATTTTGGTGTATAGTTTCTATGTATTTGAGGAGAAATTTGTCCGCACTATAAAAAAAATCAGACTGTCCCTTTAATCATTGGTTCCAATACAATCCTTTAAGTATAAAGTTTTCTTTTTTATTTTCAGTGCCAACAGAAGCAGTAGCATTCCTGGGAGCTGTGGGATTTTTCCTGGTTGTTCTTATTTTATTTTTCTGTTATATGAATAAAACATTATGCTTTAAAAATTGTGGTGGATTCCCCTGCATAGACAGACCTACAAAACATAAAAAGGCCAATTCTTTAGGTGAGTCCATTTCTTATAGTTTCACTACAATGCACAAATTTCTAATAGAAAGATATCATCAATTTGCACCATACGAAATTTCAGTCAGAAGTCTGTGGTTCCTGCAATTCCTGCACTAAAACTAAGTGTTGGATGAGATGAGTGTTGCGAAAAGGGCCCTATGTGATAAAGCATATTTTGCGATTAGTGATATCATCAAGAATTTAATTTTGGTTGATTTGAAGAAACTACAAAAACTCAAAATTCAGATTCAAGTGGTTTATGTTACCGTGTATGTAAGATGCCAAATCTCACTGATATAACGTTTAATCCAACTATTTGCATTTCACCATATTTTGGCTTCAAATTCCCTTTGTTGATATCAGAGAAAGTTCTGAGTGGATCAGTAAATTTGGAATATGAATATTTTAGATGAAAACAGTGACTAACTGGTATAATCAAGTCTACAGACTGTGTAAGAATATTTTTCCCTATTTCCCTCATTTTGCCTTTGGTTTGAGTGTGGGAGTAAATTCTGGACACCACCATGCATGTATTATAGGAATATCATCCCATCATCCAGTCTTATTCTGGGTTCCCATTATTAGCATTACCCTTCTTGAATCTTGAATTCTTCGCCACTGGGGCAAGTTTCTCTTAAAGTTAACTAAGATAAAATCAAAGTAAAGATTTTCAGAAATGCAGTAATTTGATTGGTTGATATTAATTGATGAACCAATCAGTATCAGCTAAAAGTATCTTAAGTTAAGTTTTTGAAAAACAGGCTCCTGATCTGTACTTATTTTATAATTTTGGGAAAAGGAATACAATATAACGTCATTTTATGCCTCTCTATGGACATATATTGTTGGCATATTGCCAGTCTGTCTGTCTGTTTGTTCATATTTATATGTGTATGCTATAAATCTACAATTTTTCATTTATCATTCATTCATTCATATTTATATACATGTATACCTGTATTCATTCAACCCCTCATTCATTCATTTATTATTCATTTATCATACATTCATTCATATTGATATCTACCTCTATTCATTCAACTCCTCATTCATTTATTATTCATTTATCATACATTTATTCATACATATTGATATATACCTCTATTCATTCAACCCCTCATTCTTTTATTATTCATGTATCATACATTCATTCATATTGATATATACCTCTATTTATTCAACCCCTCATTCTTTTATTATTCATGTATCATACATTCATTCATATTGATATATACCTCTATTCATTCAACCCCTCATTCATTTATTATTCATTTATCATACATTCATTCATATTGATATCTACCTCTATTTATTCAACCCCTCATTCTTTTATTATTCATTTATCATACATTCATTCATATTGATATCTACCTCTATTTATTCAACCCCTCATTCTTTTATTATTCATTTATCATACATTTATTCATACATATTGATATATACCTCTATTCATTCAACCCCTCATTCATTTATTATTCATTTATCATACATTCATTCATATTGATATCTACCTCTATTTATTCAACCCCTCATTCTTTTATTATTCATTTATCATACATTCATTCATATTGATATATACCTCTATTTATTCAACCCCTCATTCATTTATTATTCATGTATCATACATTCATTCATACATATTGATATCTACCTCTATTCATTCAACCCCTCATTCATTTATTATTCATTTATCATACATTCATTCATACATATTGATATATACCTCTGTTCATTCAACCCCTCATTCATTTATTATTCATTTATCATACATTCATTCATACATTGATATATACCTCTATTCATTCAACCCCTCATTCATTTATTATTCATTTATCATACATTTATTCATACATATTGATATGTACCTCTATTCATTCAAGCCCTCATTCATTTATTATTCATTTATCATACATTCATTCATATTGATATCTACCTCTATTCATTCAACCCCTCATTCATTTATTATTCATTTATCATACATTCATTCATATTGATATATACCTCTATTTATTCAACCCCTCATTCATTTATTATTCATTTATCATACATTCATTCATACATATTGATATATACCTCTATTCATTCAACCCCTCATTCATTTATTATTCATTTATCATACATTCATTCATATTGATATATACCTCTGTTCATTCAACACCTCATTCATTTATTATTCATTTATCATACATTCATTCATATTGATATATACCTCTATTCATTCAACCCCTCATTCATTTATTATTCATTTATCATACATTCATTCATATATTGATATATACCTCTGTTCATTCAACCCCTCATTCATTTATTATTCATTTATCATACATTCATTCATATTGATCTATACCTCTATTCATTCAACCCCTCATTCATTTATTATTCATTTATTATACTTTCATTCATACATATTGATATATACCTCTATTCATTCAACCCCTCATTCATTTATTATTCATTTATCATACATTCATGATAATCAGAAAGAATTGCCTCCCTTTAATTGAGATTACAGTTTTCCAATATCTTTCTGCATTAAAGCCTGTTCAATGGTATCCATAATTTATATATACTTTATAAAACTAAAGTAATTATTTAAATTTTTTTTTTTAATATACATGATCACTCTAAGAGGTTACACATAGACAGTGTAATAATAACCTTATAAAGTCTCGGTCAATGAGCACCCTGAATAGAACATTGACATATTATACCTTGTTACTGTTTTGCCCTAATTCTTACACTTTCTTAACACTATAATGTATAATACACACAATTTCTTATTATTCATATTGGTAAAGCTATAGAAGTAGGTAGATCTAACATTTAAATGTTTCTTGTCAGTGGATATTTTCTTGGGGATTCAGTTTTAAACTGTATTCTGATTGATAGAATATTATTAAGTTCTTAGTGTTGTTTTTATTTTCATATGTGTAGGAAAATGTTGTCTGACAATGGATTTTGAATTAAAACAAAAACATTCAGAGCTTCAGATTGTATGGTCAGTATTAGCAGTGGCGGAGCAAGGATTACGTCTTGAGAGGGGGCGAGATATCTGAGATTGCCCAAATCGTTAACCTAGTTATGAGATTTCTGCCCGAAAAACTTGCTTTCGGGGCTGCTAGGGGGGGGGGAGAGGTGGCTCCGCCACTGAGTATTAGTCATGTTTGTGAAGAGAGGCATTTCATGTAGGGCAAATACTGGTAATTAAATGTCAGTGGATTTTTAACAGAAGATTAATTCTTGGATTACCATGTACATAAGTTTGATTTAGAAATAAATATTGACAGCTTTGATCTTTTCATTTGTCTGTTGTAGCTTGCCATAAAATGGTGATAAACCATCTTAAAGGATATATGCTTATCTTAGTAGAACACAAAGCACCAAGTTTAGATAAGACTGTGATCAATTTATTTGACTCTACCTTCAACACATCTGAAAATATCACGTATTTCTACCGTGTTTCACTGTTGCTGGTATATTTCTTATCAGGGATCAGGTAATAGATATTCATAAGATATATTGATCTAACATCATTAATATTGACTCAGAAAACATTGGTTCTTTATGTTCATTCATATGGTGACATTGTATCTACAACGCTGATTGCTTATTTTGCTTTAAGGTTGTAGAAGACATATCATTGCTCTTTAATGTCCTTCTCTCATAATATCACAATAATTGGCATCGCTTACAAACCAAACATACAAGTTGGCATAACACAGACACAATAATGAGTTTTGTTTCATTGTAACAAGTGATAATTATAGTATATTATAAAGAGTGATTTTACCTATAGTTATATAGATAATATTTTATTCAATAGTATGGGAGGTAAATAGGTAAATGAAGCAGTTGCTGATTTCGCAGACTAGGTAGTTTTTGGTAGTCGTAGTAGTTGGTAGTTGGATTGATTCAAAATGGATGATTCTGTGTATATTCAATAGTATGATATATATAAACACAATGATCTACCAGTACTCAGATACAATGGTTCATTATTGGTAGCCTACTAAGATTCTTAATTAAGTCAGCTAAATAATTAATGAGGAAAGTAATGGGCAGTGAAAATCGTTAAGGATAGAGATGACTGGATACTTAATAGGAAATACCAATTGATAGCACTTGGTTAAAAGAGACATGTTTTTATAATAACAACTCAAATTCTCAATGTACATTATCAGCTTTGTGAAGTTTTGAAACAATGTTGGTGCTGTAGGTTTGAATCCTTGTCAAAGTAAGAATATGTATGATGCCATGGCCAGTGTTTCTAAGAGTCAACCAGGTGTTGGCTTTCACTCACTTTACATTGGGCCAATTGTTGTATACAGGATTGTGACTAAGAAATCTTTCGTAGATTGTGTAGGACTTTTGGAAACTAGTCGTAAGGGTAGAATGTAAGAAGGCACTGCTACAGACTGTGCACTTTGAAGATTCATCAATCAGCTCTTTTCGAGAAGGGGTAGGCAAATAAGGCTGTTTGGGAACAGTTTCCATCATTACACACTGCATGGCTTTACCCATTTTGATTAGCCTTATCAGGAGTAAAAAAAATAAAGTAGAATTATATATTATTTTAAATTGCAACCTTCAAAGTTATCCCTAAACAAACACCATAATGTTGAATAATGTTTCGTGGTATCAAAGTTATAACCAAAAAGAAAATATTAGTTACTGACAATCAATCTATAGTGAAAGCTAGAGAACCACCATGGACTAAATTCTATATCTTATATTTTATGTCTCTATTTCTGTTCCATCATTGATTATTCCTAAGCCATATCTAATAATTCTTCTCCCAGAGGATACAATTCACTTAAATTTCTTACTGAAGAGTCTATAAATAATATACATGTATCTATAGAAAGCTCCTAATTCTCAAGTCTATAAAGGGAAGTGTTGAATCTTGTATTTCCTTTTCAGCGTCTCTAATGTCAACATAACCAAAAAATGTCATCCAAATCTGACCTCAAGTAATGATATATCTGACATTTTAAGAGCTAATCTTTCAAAACATTGTGTGGTCAGACAGTAGTTTAAGTCTAGATGTGGAAGATTAAACCTTGTATTTCCTTGCCAGCTGCTCTGATA